GAACTGCCTCACCTCTACAAACAAACAATACAACAATTGACAACCCATGAAACTAAAAAGCTTCTTAACAGCAAAAGACACCATCGTTCGAGTGAAGAGGCACCCTACAGAATGGGAAGAAAAAATCTTACCAGTTTTACCTCTATATAAGGTTAGTATATAGAATATACAAGGAACTCAACAAACTAAACATCAAAAAACCAAAGAATCCAATGAAAAATTGGGGCAAGGAGATGAACAGAATTCTTTAAAGATGAAATACAACTGGATGAAAAATATTTTTTAAAATGTTCAACATCAGGGTGAAGATGGGGGGAGGGGAGGTCTAAATTTTATTAAGATCTATTATATGAAATGCACAAAACAATAAAAATATTAAAAATAAAATGTTCAACATATTTAGTCATCAGGGAAATACAAATTAAAACCGCTTTGAGATTTCATTTTACCCCACTCAGAATGGATGAGATACAAAAACAAACAATGCCAAGTGCTGGTAAGGATGTGGAGAAAGGGGAACTCTTATCCACTTCTGGTAGGAGTGCAAACTGGTGTAGTCATTGTGGAAATCAGTGTGGAGATTCCTCAAAAAGCTCAAAATTGATCTATCATATGATTAATATGATCAATATATACTACTCTTGGGTATATACCTGTCCTGGTTTCTTCATTGCTGTGACAAAACACTCTGACCACTACCAACTTAGGGAGGAAAGGGTTTATTCAGCTTACATCTCTCAGGTCGCAGTTCATCAGGGAGCCCAAGGTAGGAACTCAGGGCCGGAACCTGGAGGCAGGAGGTGGAGCACAGGCCATGGAGGAATGCTGCTTACTGGTTTGCTCCCCTGGCCCCTGCTCAGCCTGCTTTCTTATGCAACACAGGCCCACTTGCCAAGGGGTGGCACCACCCACAGTGGGCTGGGTCCTCCCACATCACTTATCAAGAAAATGCCCCTCAGATATGGCCACAGGCCAGTCCAATAGAGGAAATTCCTCAACTGAGGCTCCCTCAACCAAGGTGTGTTAAGTTGACACTAAAGCTATCCAGCACAATACCCAAAAGACTCTGTATCTTCCTATAGAGATACCTGTTCATGGGTGGCACCACCCACAGTGGGCTGGGTCCTCCCACATCACTTATCAAGAAAATGCCCCTCAGATATGGCCACAGGCCAGTCCAATAGAGGAAATTCCTCAACTGAGGCTCCCTCAACCAAGGTGTGTTAAGTTGACACTAAAGCTATCCAGCACAATACCCAAAAGACTCTGTATCTTCCTATAGAGATACCTGTTCATCTTCATTGCTGCCTTTTTCATAATAGCCAGAAACTGAAAACAACATAGATGTCCATCAACTGATGAATGGATAATGAAGGTGTGGTACATATACACAATGAAATTTGCAGGTAAATGGATGGAACTGGAAGCAATCATCCTGAGTGAGGTAATCCAGACCCAGAAAGACAAATGTTGCATGTTCATTCTCATAGTTGGATGCTAGCTTTAAAATCTTAGATATGCATGTTTCAACTAGAAAATCCAGAAAGGTCAGGAAATTAATAAATGGCCATGCGGGGGTGGGGGTGGAGGGTGGCTTTGGGGCAGGGGAGATAGAATGCAGTGACATAAAAGGGGAAAGGGAAATAGAGTAGGAAGAGATAAATGAGGTTAAGAGTGGGAAGTATGGGGATGGACAGCTAACACTAAAGACCTTTAGAAAAAGCCATATGGAAACCTACCACTATAGAAGCTTCTTACAGTACATACATAGACATTATAAAAAGAGATTAAAGGGAATTACCTTATAACAGAGAACTCTGCTCCTACTAGACACCATAGACTAACAAAATAAAACCCCAGTGCCAGAAATGGACTCCCTTTCTTGAAGCTGTTGACCAAGGTTCCCAAAGACCATCAACAATAATGACCATTGCCCCTGCTCTTGGTTACCCACCGAAACTGGATGGTAGGACCCTATTACTGAAAGCACTGCATGCGTGAGCTATGGAACAAACAAGGAGATATCGAGCTGGTGCTGACTTCAAAGTCTCAACTCTACCAGCTAGATTTCATATTTCTTGAAGGTCAATGCATGCTACCAGAAGAGAAAAATAATCATCAGCCTTCCCAGTTGTGAATCCTGCAACAACTGGATGAGTAGCATATATGTGCCCACTGGGGCAACAGTGGCAAGGATATTATGGCAGTAACCAACACTTTCTAATAGGACTTAAGGTCCATTCATAAGATAGAGCCCATATCTGACATTGATATCAAGCCTAGGAACCTGAGGCCAGACATGACACAAGCCATAGGGAAGAGCTTGATACTACATTCTGCTAAATAGATACAGTATTAAATTGACTTTTAATGACTATTGTCATACCCATAGATTAATTCATTTCTCAGTTTTCACCAGAGAAGTTTCATTATGCAGCAGAAGGTGATTAACACAGAGGCCCACAACTGGCCAACATACTGAGAATAAGAAGCTGCAGAGTGTTTATTCCTGAATAGAACACCTATATCCAACTTCTGCTTCCCAAGGCTCAGGGATCATTCCAGAAGAGGGAATGGAAAGACTGTAAGAGTCAGAGGTGACAAATGACCATAAGGGAAGACAGTATTTCAGACAACTAGGCAGTTACTTATATGAACTGACAGCAATGATGAGAGCATGCACAAGTCCCACCTAAGATCAGGCCAAACATAATTGCAGCATTGACATGGGGAAGTGAGTAAGAAACCCTCAACTCTACCTGAGGAAATATTGGCACATGATGGCACCTGGGAGGGGGAGAGTCAGTCTCATTTAAGCATGAGAGTCTTGGTAAGTTGAACAAGCTCCAGTGGATGGACCCACACCAAAGGGCATTTGAGGACACAAACTCAACTACAGGTATATTTTATATACATAATATATATGTTATATATATAAAACTAGAATCCATGAATATGTTATATATGTCATATATATTAGACTCTAATATGTATATATGTATATATGTGTGTGTATGTATATGTATATATGGGGGGACATGAAATCAGATGGGTTAGTAAGGGGGTTGCAGATAGGGGAGGGGTTTGAATATGATCAAAATTCAATTAAAAATTTAAAAATGAAGTTCAATGTCATCCTCAGCTACATAGTGAGTTTAAGATCAACCAGCCTAGGACACATGAGATCCTGTCTCAAAGAATAAAGCAAAACAAAACAAAATACACCAATACTTTTATTCGTAACAGGAAGAATTGCATTTGGGGGACTACTTTTAAAGGGGATCAGGATGCTGTGGAAAGAATTTACACTGGCATTGTATATATTTAGACCGTTCTAAAACAAACTATTTTCTAGTTACTACTTAATCCCACTCAATATGGTCACAAAAAATAAACTAGAATGGTTTTGAGACCTTGGTTCACTGTTCAGTTCTAATGAAATAGAACCTGCACATGTAAAAATCTCAAACTCAAACACTATGGAATACTAGGAGAACAAAAAACAGTTTGGTAAGAGGAGCTAGCCAACAAATTAACTTTAAAAAATTATTTACAAAGTCAGGCGTGGTAGCTCACAGCTTTAATCCCAGCACTTGGGAAGCAGAGACAGGTGGATCTCTGAGTTCAAGGCCAGCTGGTCTACATAGTGAGTTCCAGGACAGCTCCGGCTACAGGGAGACCCTGTCTCAAAAAGACCAAAAAGAAACATATATATGTAGTATATGAGTGTATTGCTTACATGTCCCTTGTCATGCAGTGCCTGTAAAGGACAGAAGAGGGCCTTGGATCCCTTAGAAATGGAGTTAAGACCATTGAACCATCTACCTAGCGCCCCACCCCCCACCCCTACCCCATTAACTTGTTTTACACACTTAGCGTTTGAAATTGTTTGGAAAAGAAGGTTGCTCAAAAACGGGAATCAGGACACTCAGCTAACTGTTTGGAAAACAAAATCAAGACTTTGCCTTTGAACTTTAAAATCTTGGGCTGGAGAGATGGCTCAGTGGCTAAGAGCATTGTCTGTTCTTGCAGAGGTCTGGTGTGTGATTTCCAGCACCCACATGGTGGGTAACAACAGTCCTAACTCCAGTTCCAAGGGATCTGAAGCCCTCTTCTGATCTTTGCGGGCACTACACGACAGGGGCACAATTATACACATGCAGACATTACACTCATATACACAAAATATAAATAATAAACAAAATATTAAAAAGTAATATGTTAGTCCTGCATGGTGGTGTATGCCTTGTGATCCCAGCACTACGAAGAAGAGGCTGAGGCAGCATTCCAGGCACGCCTGGGGTACGTAGCAAAATTCTACCTCAAACAAAGAAGCAAAACAAACTATAAAGATGAGCATATTTAAACAATCTTGGAACGTGTATAGCTTTCTAACCTAACAGAAAACCCGTATGCCCTTTAAAGAGGGGGGGGGAAGACTATAAAAACCTTTCAATTAAGCACAAGAAATAGTATCAACAAAAAGTGAGAAAATACATCACACGTGACAGGCAAAAAGCTATTCTTAATATTCAAACGTCTCTTTTAAATAGTTAAAAGTTTAGCAACTCAATTTTTTAAACCAGGCAAAGATAAAAACACAGCTTACCAATAAATGAATGAAAATACCAATAGGAACCTGAAACGTCACTCAGTTTCACTCAGGTTAAATGCAAAACAAACTACAGGGTAAACTAGCATTTTCTTCACCGACGGGTGAAATTTCAAAAACTAAGAGTGTGAACGTTTACTTTTCTCCATCTGTAATACCAGAGCCTCAGCATCGGACATAATGGGACCTGAAAGAAGCATAAATGCATGAAAGTCAAAGAATTGGGAGAATATTAACGGTATTCTCTAGGGCTAACAGAATCGGGACAGGTGCATTCTTCAAAGGTGTCGCCTGTGAGGACCTGCATAAAGGTGAGCGCGCCCATCCACACGGCCAGCAGGGCAAAGGCCGGGAAAGGCGGAGCAGGGACCCCAGACCGCCTGCTTACTTGGCTTCTCCTTGCCCTCCGCGGGCATCAGATGCATCTCCACCCCCGCCCCGCCGTGCGGCAGCACAGCCAGGCGCCCCCGCGAACAGCACATCTGGCGCGTGGCGTGGGCTCTGCGGAGCAGCGCGCGGTGCATGCCCGGGGAGCCGGGGAAGAGCCAGAGCTGCGCGCTGGGCGGCTGCTCCAGCGCCCCAGACGTCCGGAGCCTTCTCCGCACCATACCCGCTGCTCTGTGGTCCCCAGCGCAGAGGAAGGACTCCAGACCGAGGCCAGTGGGCGTCTGCCCTAGCGCCGCCCCCTCGCTCCTCACTTGTTGCCCAGGGCTGGGCAGAGACTCAAGTGGGAAACGAAAGTGATTTGGTTTCAGGACACAGAAACGAAATAGAAAGGAAAAAGACACTGGACTGATTGTAGAGGCTTGTAAAGGCTGGAATCTACCTCTAGGTGGAGACACTCCCTTGACTTTTTTGTTGGTGTCTTGTCTGGTCCTGGTCCTGGTCCTGGTCTTGAGACAGGGTCTCCCTTTAGCTGCAGCTAGCCTAGAACTCACTATGTAGACCAGAATGAACTCGTGGTGCTATCTACCTGCCTCTGCTTCCCAGGTGCTGGGGTTTATTAAACATGGTCCATCACGCCCTGTCCTTGTGTCCTTTTTTATATCCAGTGGGGCAGGTCAGGGACCTGGCTAAGGGACCCTCTCTGGGAAGGTGGGTTTTCCTTAAATAATGTACCATTCCTTCCCAAAATTTCAGCCCCCCAGTGCAGTCCCCAGGAGCCACCATGAAGTTCGAGTCCTTTCTTATCTTCTGTCCTTTTCTTTTGAATGCTGGCCAGAGCCCAAGCATGCCTTTAAACTTCCTAACTAACCGTTGGGTTTCCCTGCTCCTTTTCTACCCCTCCCGCACTCCGTGTGCTGCCTGACCCAGCTGGGAGCCTTATCTCAAGCAGCAGGCCTTTTGTTCCTTCCCTTCTCTCTTTTCCTCCTCCCTTCCTGGCAGCCTTGAGATTTACGGCTTGTCCACCCTGGGGTGTTTTTTTAAAAAATGCTAACAGGGGCTGGAGAGATGGCTCAGTGGTTAAGAACACTGGTTGCTCTTGCAGAAGACGGGGGTTTGAATCCCAGCACCCATATGGCACCTAACAACTGTCTGTAACTCCAGACGGCCTCTTCTGACCTTAGTGGGCATTGGCCAACATGGGTACACTTACCTGCACGCAGGCAATACACGCATACACATAAAATAAAAATAATAAACAAAAAAGTTTTTAAATGGTAATAAATTATTTTCCAGTTTCTCTTTGAGTCCATTCTTTGTCCTTGAGCTTCCATGTGCATTTGTTCTTAAATTATTTTACTAATGAGACTAAGAACTCCCAACAGGGGACCCAGATTTCACGGGTATCCTATGGTGGCTGTGCTGGTGCTACAGTAGCAATAAAGGCTGGTCAAGTGGACACCTAAAACTGCAGTTGGGCCAGGTCACTCACCTGGTTAAGAGACCGCCCCTAGCCTTAAGTCATGCAAAAGAGGTAGGTGGAATAATTCCATCTTTAATGAAACACTGTACTTTTCTTTCCCAGAATCCTTCCCCCAGCACAATAGCTTACCAGGGAGCAACCTGGTAGCCTCATAATTCTGGCTGCTTCTCTGAATCAGGAACCTCTCTTTTTGTTCTTTCTATGCCTTTTCTAAGCATGCTTTCCCTAACACTTTGGGCTGCCTCAACATTTTGGACTTTCTTACTCTTTCTCTAAAGCACCCTCCTTACCATGTAGCCACTATTCCACAACGTGTCTGACCTCCATGCTGGCTTAAACGGCGTGACTTATTTTTCCATCTTTCTTTCGTTTTCCTCCTCTGGGCAGCTGCTGAGATTTACTGCCCTGGGTTGTTGTTGTTTTCTTTTAAACTGTAATAAAATTGCCCTCAAGCTTCTATTTGAGTTCATTCTTAAATTCTTTTATTAATGAGACTAAGAACCCCCAAAGGGGACCTTGTTTCCCCCATATCACTAAGAATCTCCAAGATTCAGGCCTTTTTAGGCATTCTCGGCTATATAAGTCTACATATCAAGTCGAGGCCTGCCTGATCAACATGAGAACCTGTCTCAAAAAACGGGGGGAAAAAAACCTTTTGTTACTACTGAATGGCATTGTGTGTATAAGTGTACAGCAGTTTATTTATTCACTCACCAGTTGATGGGCCTTTAGTGCCTTCCAGCTTCTAGCTACAATGAACAGAGTTGCTGTGAATATTTGTGCAAAAGTCTTTATAGTAGCAAATGTTTTTATTTATTTGGGGTAAATATCTAGAAGTAGAGTTGTTCTGTCCTATACTAAGTGTATAAATTGCTTTATAAGAAACTGTCAAGCTTTTTCCAAAGCACCGGACCATTTGCGTTCCTTCCGGCAACTTAATGAGTGTTCTTATTTGCCAGTAGTTGATATTGTGTCTTGTTCATTTTAGCAGCTGTAGTGGTGAAGATCTCATTTTATTTAAATTTTCTTTTCACTAATTACTAATGATGTTGAGCATATTTTTAAGTGCTTATTTGCCACTCCTGCTTTTTGAAGTCTCTATTTAAAGATTTTGTCTATTTAGTTCAATGGCTTGACTTACTAAAGGCTCTTCACATGATTTATCACATATTGTTTATTAAATATGTATTTTGGAATATTTTCCACCTGTTTCTGTCTTATCATCTTATTAAAATTGTCATTTGAAGAGCCGAGCTTTTAAATTTTTATGCAATTTATCCATTTTTCTTTGCTGTAATCCATTCCTTTTATCATCCAACTTAAATCTTTGCTAAACACAAGGCTACAAAGTTTTCTCGTTTATGTTCAGGAAGTTCTGTAGAATTTAATCTTTGTTGTAATTATTTTCAATAAATTATTCCTGGCAGTGTGAGGAAAGGGTAGAGGTTTATTTTTTCCTTATTGATTTCTAGTGGCTCTGGCGTATATATCTGTCAATTTGTTGCTTCATCTTTGTCAAAATGGATTTTGTTTGGGAGTGTTAAATACAATAAAGACAGCAGCAGTCTGTTCAGAATGGAAACTGGCACATAATTCATAATTCTTTTCAGGTGTGAGGGTTTTCAGACTGTAAGCGCCTCAAGGCCATGACTGGGCCTGAAGGTGGGAGTGAGATCATCAGACACAATACAGTCTCTCGAGAGCTAAACATGATGGGTCCTTAAAGAGGACAGGTTTCCCTTTAAAACTTGGAGAGGCACTTCATAAAGAGTGAGAATGGGGTGGGAGGGGGATGGGAGGAATGGTGAGGGGGAGGCTAGGGGAGCCTCTTCAGAGAGCCTTCAGAGCACCAGAAATTCTCCTGAGGAGTCTCAGACCAATTCCCAGAAGAAATGAAAGGTCTGACTTTTTGTAACCTTTTAGGGATGGCAGAAGTTTCACATAAGGTGATTTGATTTAGTTTACCGTAGCATCAGTGCCAGAAAGAATAGAGGAGCCAGAGTCTGGTTAGGACCATAAATCAGGGTTGCTGTTAGGCCACAGCACAGACAGCTTATTCTCTTTTTTTGAGAATTTTGTCAACGATTACTGTATTTACATCATTTCCATCCCTCCCTTTCCCCTCCAACTCCCCCATGCCTCACTCTCAAGAGACACACACACACACACACATATCATCCATTTAGGGTTGCTTATGCACATCTGTGTAGGACTGAGCACTTGGGACTGGAAACTTATCAGAAGGCTGGTCCCTGGGAAAAATGGTCTCTTCTCTCAGTAGCCACTGACTGCCTATAGCTCTTCAAGTAAGGGCAGGGCCTTGTGAAATTTCCCTGTCCCCACTGTCATGTTGACCGGTGTCCTTGTGCAGGTCTTCTTTAGACAACCGTATTGCTGAGATTTCATGAGTGCAGCTTCCTAGCGATAGCTTCGTAACTCTCTGTCCTAGAGAGAGCTGTGGGGAGGCAGTCCTGATTCAGGCTGTAGCATGTAGAAAGCCCTAGGTTCTACCTCAGCTAGACGGGGAGGGCTCTCAGTTAGGCATATATGGTCAGACTTATTTCTGAATTTTCAGTTCTGTTATTTATGATCCACTGACCTGTACATTTTTTTCCAAAGTACATTGTCTTTTTTACTGTATATGCAAAGTGAGTCACAAAATAAGTTTATATAACCCTTCTTTTTCAACTTTGTTTTGTCTATTCTGGTCCTTTGCATTTTTATTATATACCTTGGGGTCAGTTTATCAATTGCTGCAAAATGAATTACTGGGATTAAATTAAATTACCCTCTTGGCCATGTGCACTGGCCAGCAGTCCTACTCTTCTGGAGAGCAACTAGTTTCTCAAAGCCCTTAAAACACAGCAAGTCTATTTAAAAAAAAAAGAAAAAAGGCTGGGCATGATGACACACACCTTTAATCCTGGTACTTGGGAGGCAGAGGCAGGTGGATCTCTGTGAGTTCGAGGCCAGCCTGGTCTCCATAGTGAATCCAGGACAGCTGGGGCTACAGGGAGACCCTGTCTCGAAAAGACCAAAAAAAAAAAAAAAGAAAAAAAAATACACACATATATCAATTTGGGAAAATATGGCCTGTTGTTATCAGTAAATATCATCTCTTTGTAGAATAATTAAAAGTTTCCCTAATTTCAATAATATAGTTTTCAGTATAGTCATACATATTTATTAAAATATACTTAAGTATTTCTCTTTTGATATTGCAAATATTTTTTTCAAATTTCAATTTATGTTTGTGATCTTGTCCTAAGATCTAGTTTTTTTCATTTTTAATATTTTTATTGGGAGTTTGTGCATTTCATATAATACATCTTCATAAAATTTACACTCCTCCCCATTAACTTGTCTTCTAAGATAAGGTCTGTCACTTAGTTTTTTAAAAACGCATTAAATTTTATGTCTTACAGGGCTTATACTGAGTTCAATATTGTATAACTGTATTAATTCAACAGTAACCTAAAAACTTTATAGTCACTTTTGAAAGAGATGTATCTTTGCTCTGGAAACTTGAGTATGTTAAAGCTATAATTAAGTGCTTCTTCTAAAAAAAAATTTAAAAATTAAAAAAATCTTTTATTGAGCTTTTGTACATTTCATACAACAGTTCTTAAATTGAGATCTCCTCCTCCATCCATGTTCCCCCACCCTCATGCCCCATCATACCTCATGTATTCCATCATATACATGTTAAGTCCTATCCATTCAAACATTTGTACCCAGATGTCCTTCGGTGCAAATTCTTCCTCTGGAGTCTAGTCAACCTATCTGGAGATCGTTGCTATGGCCTATTCTCCCTCACCCAGTACTGATCAGTCTCCAATAGTTCCTAGACTGGAGCTGACCTGCCACCCATTTCCCTTGCTATACTCTGGGTCCTTGTGTGATTGAGTTAGCATGGGTCCTGTGCTCGATGCCACCATTGCCATAAGTGCATATGTGCAAGTTTCCAGTGGTCTGAAAGCCTCTGCTTCCCCATGTTCATAAACCAATCTTTCTGCCCCTCTTCCCCAGTGGCCCTTGAGCTGTGGGTGGGAGAGGTTTGATACAGGAGTCCAGCCCAGGGACACACACTCTGCAGTCTCTTATTCTTATTTTCTTTTTTAAAATTTTATTATTATTATTATTATTTTTATTTCTGGAGTTACGGACAGTTGTTAGCTACCATGTGGGTGCTGGGATTCGAACCTGGGTCTTCTGCAAGAACAACCAGTGTTCTTAACTGCTGAGCCAGCTCTCCAGCCCCTGCAGTCTCTTATTCTTTAAAAGTTGGCCAGTTGTGGCCTTTTGTGTGCATCACACTTTGTTGTATAAGGACGCTTCACTGGTGAGAGTTGAGGGATGCAGTAGTTTTCTTTTTATCCCCCCCCTGCCACTCTGTTATGTTCCATGAGCCTTAGGTGTAGCGGATCAACTGTAGATATGTCACCTAGGACGAGGCACCTCTCAGATACATTCTCTATGGCTGACCAGTTGTGGGATTCTGCAGTAGCCTCCATCTGTTGCAAAAGGAAGCTTCTTTGTTCGGTGGTGTATGAGAGACTTGTCTACAAATATAAAGACCCATATATAGCATATGGTAAGAAATTTCATTTGCCTAGAGGTATGACAGATAGGGTTTTCTCTAGGATCTCTGACCTCTCTGGCCTCTTTGGTTGGGTTTACAGTACCACCTGTGAGTTCACTCCCATTGAAAGGGTTTTAAGTCCAATTAGATAGCTGTTGATTACCCCCCAGATAACAGTGACACTACCAAACCAATAGAGTAGTTTGCTCTGTTGGTTGTTATGGTTATTAGGCTTTAGGGCTGTGTTGGACCATTGATTTTCTCCTTTAGCAGCTTGCATAGTATCCTCCAGAACTATGGGAGTTAAACTTGGTCAGAGTGGTTCAAGAGAATCTCCACATAACATAGGCTGTGCCAGAGCTCTTGATTATCTCCCAGAACTGGAAGATAAGACCCTACTGCCGAACATAGGACATATTTCAGACAAAGGACTTAAAGCAATGGAGCAAGAACTGATCTGGAAGCCTTCTACCTGATGTTTAGTTCTCGTTTGTTTAGATTCTTGTAAATAGTTGATATGATCTATAAATAAGACAAGTCTGCTCTTTCATGTCTGATTGATGTATCTTTAATTTTCTTGATGATATGGATTCGCACCTCTGAAGCCTCATCTCCTTGGCAGTATGGAAGCATTGTCTTTTGCCATTAAGAGGTCAGCTCTATGTAAGTTTACAAATTAGTAAATTTTTATTTAGTCCTTGTTTGTTAACGGTATTTATCATGCGTGATTGGGTATTAAATCTGGTCTAATTTCATTTCTACTTGTTCTAAGGCAATTATATGGGCTTTCTGAACCCATGTGTAGAACATTGATTCTATCCAGGTATAGTAGTACACACCTTCAATTTCAGGGGTTGGGCAGTCTGAGGGAGGAGGATAGAGAGTTCCAGGCTAACCTGCGATACATAGGGAGACCCTGTCTCAAAGAATAGGGTGTGGGGCTGTTGGTCCTATTCCTTCCTTAAGTTTTCAGAACAATTCATCCTTCCCATTAGAAAAAGTCATGATGGAGATAAAAGACAACCCTCCAAAAGCCAAATATCTGAGATCCCTAAACTAGATAGATTATATTTGGACTTTCATTCCACCCATTAAAATGGAAACCATGGGTCCAAAATAACCCTGAGAATTCTCTGGGGGCTTTCATTTCTGTTGGCCACCTCACAGTCTAGCATCCTTGACAAGTTCTCCCTCTGTCTGTCCAGTGGTATCTACCTTTTTTACATCAGCACCTCAGCATGGACTAGTCCCCATAGTCTTTGATTTCTCAAAATATCACTAAAACAGGCTTCTGGTAATGGTTGGGACAGCAGCAGGCATTCATATTTGGCTGATAATTTATTTCATTTGGTTAATATAAGGAGATGATGCTGGTGTGGTGGTACATGACTTGGGAGGCAGAGGCAGGAGGATCTTGGAGATCAAGGCCAGCCTGAGCTACATAGTGAATTTCAGGCCAGCTGGGATTTAGGGAGACCCTGTCTCAACAAACAAAAACAACAACAAAAAAGGAGATGATCAAAGTATTATTTCACAAATCACACAAATATTTTTCTTTTCTTTTGGAGGGGAAGAGTAGCAAGAACAAATCTCACAGGGAACACACTTGGATTGAGGAGGTTCATTAAACACAGAGTAGATGATTTCCAGTTTCCTTAGAATTCAGTTACTGAAGTTTATGATCAGTTGGGATGGAAGTCAACCTCTGTAGAAAGTAAAAATCTCACTAAGGTTTCAGATGCCTCTTTATAGAAAAGTTCTCCAGAAAAGCTGACTTGACTTAACAGAGTAGTGATGACCGAGGACTCCTAATAGCAGTGCCGGTGTTGCAGGGCAAAGCTTTGAGGGCTTGGCTCACAGGCTAAATTAAATGTAGGACCCCGAGAGCATGAGCTCTCAGTCTTTGGAAAAGTGGCTGACAGAGTGTAGCCTGCCCAGCCCAAGCTTTCAAAGTATCTACTAAATTCTTTGGTATTTTGGAGTCCAATAAACAGGTCACATATGGAGCCTGATAAGGTGTGATATAACATCTTTATGGGAAAGTAACTTAATCAAGTTAACATCACAGCAACATATATTTCACAATTATAACAAATTATACGCATGTATGAAATCATTTTAATGTAGCATCACACAGTTTAAAATTTTAACATTAAATAAAACTGCTCCACAGAATCTATTGGCCATTTCTCATAATAGCAATATGCTCCAATAATTCACTCTACAGCATCATAATAAGACACATTTCAGCCTCTCTTATTGTTCCAACAAGTGGCTATGAGCTTCTGTTGAGTTTAGTGTTTGACTGAAATAAGAATGTCCACACTGAGAATTGTTCCTGGAACACAATGTTCAATTCTTTGAAACATTCAAAGAATTACTAACCTAGTCATTTAGATTTTAAAAATAAATTAGTTAGCAGTTTACTAAACTCAAAACTCTAAAGATATTCCTTAATATAAAATACACATCTATAAGCTTCAAAAGCATGCTGAAACAATGTATATTTTTGGTTTACTTTTTCAAATCGGATATCAGATATGCTTATTATTGGAATAATACTGAATATTTCAAATATTTAGTATATTATTAAATAATTGTTGAGAAAAATCATTCAGCAAAGCAAACATTCTAATAGCAAGGTTATAAATACAGGAAATGTTTCACATAATTTTGTTTCACCAAAAATACTGATTTATAACTCTATTATTTATCTCAAAAACTATCCAACTAATTCTAACCAAAATCCTTCAGCTTTTTGTACTAAAGAGATTGTTCTTCCCTAGATTGAGGAAGAACAGAAAAATCCAAGAATCAAAGTCCCAGTGCCTAGCCTCCCCATCCCCCACACTGGGAGGGTGGTGCCTATGATACAAATCCCTTGTTGTTGTTGATGGCCACTTGAAGAGCTTCCTTCATCTTTCTCATTGTAGAATATTTAGGCAAGTCTAGAATATTATAACATGTCAGTGATCTTGGGTGATCATTTTCAGTGAATGTTTCAGGACAACGGAATACTATTCCTTCATCCCGGAGGCCTTTTACATGTAGCCTATCACATCCTGTAAGAAACACTAAAAGGGAATACATTTTTTTTTGTTATTTCACCTAGCAAAACTCAAATGAAAAATTAGAAATTAATGATTGCATTTCATAAATTATTGAGCATTTTTCAGAGAGAACTTCACAGGGGCAGATAAAGTCTAGAAAAGTCATGGCATTTGGGTTTTATCCTCTGTAAGTTTATGCCATTAATGCTGGTGTCCTGAGTTCATCTCAAACAAACAAATCACACACACACACACACACACACACACACACACATATATATATAAATATATAAATTACAGTACTTACTGAGGAATTTTTTCTTTTCATCCAATGTTAACTCATGGAAAGCCTTCCAAAATAATAGAATAGTTGGGTGTGATTTGTAATATCCTTGCTCATACCTTGAATTCTTTTGAAAAAGAGACAGAAAAAAATTTTAGGGGGAATATGTAGATGCTGTTTGGAAAAGTTGGGGGCACTTATGTCATAACTTACATTTTCAAATTGTTTCCAGTCATAATTTGTGCTTCCAATTATTGCTGTCCTTAGTTCTTCAGGACTGAAATTCCTGATTATATCTCTGTCACACACCTTGTAAAATCCTCTATGAAATTCCTCATAAATCGTCTTTACAGAGATGTTGAAAATGTAATCAACACACTTAGAAACATAGTCTTTCCTTAAGGGAAGAAAAAAATGACATATCTTACCAATGACTAAAATATTGTCTACTTTCTTCACTATTTCTATTGAGAAAGAAAAGTAAATTTTTCTGTGTATCACAGAAGTTTGTGCAACATAGGAATATAAAAACCTTTCCAATTAGAAGAAAGATCCTCACAGAATGTAAGCAGAAGAACTGAAACATTAGTTTGAGTGAATTTTTCCCCTGTAGGCACTAGCATGTTTTAACCCTAATCTGAATATAGATGCCTCTTGAATTACAACAGTGACATGTCCCAGTAAGCCCATCATAAATGGAAAATGTCATAAGTTAAAGGTGAACTTAATATACCTAACCTACCGAACATCATAGCTTAGCCAACAGAGTATACTGTACAGTATCTGTCACGTCATCTCTCCTTGGCACCACATGATTGCCACCCAGCATCATAAGAGAGTGTTGGATCATGTATTACTAGCCCAAGATGATCAAAATCCAAAATCTGTGGAGCACGCTGTCTACTGAATGTCATATACTTTCACACCACTGGAAACTAGGGAGAAAACATAAGTTCTACCATTATATGTCATTCTTGCTAAAAATCTTTCAAAGGCTTCACACTGCCGTGAAGACTCGTTCCCAGCTTCTGACACTTGCCAGACTCATGGGCTTCCTTTCCATACTCCTCTCTGCCATTCTGACCTAGTTGTCTCTTGTTTGTAGATAACTCTGCAACGTAGAAGTGTGTCCTCTTAGCAACTTCTACCAGTCATCAAATTTCCGTATGAAAGTGATATTCTCAGGGTTAGCCCTTCTGTGCCCCTCCTCTCCCCTCTTCCCTCTTCCAGCACATGTCACTCTGTGGAAATAATTTCTGTACTACAGGATGCATTTCCATGATATGATGAATTTCCTGGTAGCAAATGATAACCACGTGTATTTGGTTTGGCTGTGCTGACACCCCCCCCAACACACAAGGCTTTATGTGTTAAAATCTATTAACTCCCATTGTTAGGTATTAAGAGGATAGAAACTTAATCCGATTATAGTGTATATGAGGGTCCTTTAGAGTATGATTAGGGCTACATAAAATCATCACAGTAGAGCCCCATGATTGAATTTTGGTGGTCTTGTAAGGTGAGGGAGAAAGAAAAGAGGAGAAAAATTCATGCTTCTTGGGTCTTGTCATGTGTTACCCTGTCACGGTCAGGATGCTGCCAGCAAGAAGCTCCCAGAAAAATCCTGCAAAATCTTTGAACCTCCTGCAAGGTTGACCAACTGATTAGCACTTCAGTGACTGGAGAATCTGGAATGTTCCAGCTCCAGAACCCAATTTATTTCAGGCCATCCTTAGCCTCCTAAATAGCCACTCCTTGCCCACCTGTGTCTGACATTACATCCTGTGGCTAACAGACTTTTATAAAAGTTTTAGGGGCCAGAGAAATGGCTCAGTGGTTATCTCTTACAGAAGACCTAGGTTTGATTTCCAACACCCAAATGGCTGCTAACAACCACTTATAACTCCAGTTCAAGGGATCCAATGCCCTCCTCTGACCTCCACTGGTGTTGCATGACACATGCAGACAATACACTCATACACATAAAATTAAAATAATAAATAATAAATATTTTAAAAGAACATTTTGGAGGAAATGTTTCCTCTGTGTTGACTCTCCTCTTTGTAGACTGGACACTGGTTCATGTCCATCTGGCAAGGTTTCCATGGCCTCCCTGAACAACTGTGACTCACAACTGTGACTCACCACAGTTACAGGACATTTCGAGAGATGCTCCATAGTCCCTTGGAACTTAGTTGACCTTGGAGGGCAAGGAGCTAAAAACTGTCCTTTAAGTCCCTCTGACCAGATTGGTATAGCCCTCAAAGTATGGCTATTAAACATCCAAAAAGGTTAGTTCCACCAGTCTGGTACTTTTAATAACGTGTGCTATGTAGATAAAGCTTGGGCAAAAGCTGTGAAGCCAGCCATGGTTGAGCAGGACCTTTGATTTATTGTCTCATAGATGGAACTGGTGAAAGAAAGGATCCAGGAGCTCCTCCAAAGCCCATGTGACCCCTGAGGAACAGGTCCTCAAATGACCTTCAGAGTAGAAATAAATTGGTTTATTTGAGCCATCTGTATGGCCTTAAACACCCAAAAGGAAAGTATAACCAAAGATTAAAGTGATCAGAATATTTCTCTAAGAGTTCAAGGGATTCCACTTCCCAGACATTAGGCTTAAATCCATATAAAATGTTATTCAAACAATTATTTCTCATTGATGATTTTTTTTCTAAGCAGAAAGTGCTGCTCAGATGTAAGACTTCAAATCTTGGTCTGCAATACTGTAGTGCCTACCTGTAGCTAAGGGAGGCAACCAGCTATTGTTCTAAAACGATGGCTAAATTTGTTTTCCCCCCGTATCTAGAGAGGGAACTGACACTGATTCTAGCCACTTCAACAACTATCAAAGTGCCTGAAAACAAATCCTGGATCCATCACTCTCGAGTCCAGCCTTGGCAGACAAAAGGAAAATGAGGAGGAACCCAATAGAGGGATGCTTTTGGAAGCTCTCATTAAGAAATTCCAGTGGACTCTGATATGAACATTTGAAACTTGCCTTGTTCTGACTTTTTTCTGGTTCACTATCTAGACCTTGTAATGCTAACTACTCTTGCTTTTACTTCTCCTTCACATCTCCTATTCACCGGTCAAGGAGTTTCTTTTTCCCCTAGAGATAAGAGTTATGCAATTTGGGAGTCTTTTAGATAGACCCACTGAAGGGGTACCCCAATTGCCTTACCGTGTCCCTGTTCAGCATGGAAGAATCCAGAGTGGTCTGTGTCCCGATTTCCTATCGGGTAACCTCTTCAGAGGACAATGTCATAAGAATAGGAGGTAGGAACTGGCTAGGCAGTTAGGGTAAAAAGACCTCAAAGAAAAGTAGCCAGTTTCTTGGCTAAAAGTCAAAATGTCCTTGGACCTCTTAGCAACATACTCTGTTCCAAAGGCCAAAAATGACAAAGGTATTTGGGAGCTTTTATCTAATCTCTAAAAGACTTTGGGGTTACCTCTTCAGAGGGGGGAATGTTAGAGTAGCAAAAAGCCCTATAAAATTAAAAAAAAAAAAAAAGAGTACATGAAGTTGTTGAAAAAAAGTGATGGGGCAGATATGGGAGACGTTGGAGGGAAAGGAATGGGCAGAGATTTGATCAAAACACCTTATATGCATGTATGAAATTCTCAATAATTTTTTTAAAGTTAACAAAAAGAACATTTTGGAATGTATTAACAAAGGCCTAGGTCCCACCAACCAAAAGGTTGAGTGTCATCAGATAGCATCTGAGGCCTATATCTGAGATTTCTCTTGTGCTGTGACCACCTACTTAATGTTTCCACCAACATATTTGAAGAGTGTTTTGATATGACTTTTCCCTATTCTGTCAGTATAAAAACTTCAAGGGGCTGGAGAGATGGTTCAAAGGTTAGAAGCACTGGCTGCTCTTGCAGAGGACCTGGGTTTGATTCCCAGCACCTTCATGACGGCTAACAACTGTCTGTAACTCCAGTTCTAGAGGATCTGACACCTCCTTTTGACCTCTGTAGGCATTGCATAGTACAGATGCACTTACATACATGCAGGCAATACACTCATATACATAAAATAAGAATAATAATTTATTAAAAAAAAACTTCATGAAACTTCTTCCATGTTGGAACTTGGAATTTGGGGTAACCTAAATCTGTGTTCCCTGGCCATTGTCATTGATATTTGGCTAACTACCTCTTATCCCTTTTGAGGTCAGGGTTGTGCTTTTGTGTAGACAAAGGCCATCCCCAGATGTGCCTTTTGAATCTCCAGAACTGTGAAATAAATAAATAAACCTCTTTTTTAAATAAAGTTACCCAGTGTTTGATATTTCATTATGGCAATGAAAAGTAGACTAGAGGCATTGGGGTTGTTACTAGAGGCATTTCACCAGAGGCATTTCTCTCTCTCTCTCTCTCTCTCTCTCTCTCTCTCTCTCTCTCTCTCTCTCAACAGCCTTAGTAAACTAGCCTATCTAAACCAGTTTCCCTCTGTCCTCATAACCAGTGGTAGACAGGTAAATGTATAACATCCAGTTCTCTGAGCGAGAAGGAGAGGACGATGGAGGGAGACAGAGAGAGAAGGAAAGATGGGGGAGAAGGGAGGGAGAGGAAAATGGAGAAGTTACAAAGAGAAACCTCATTTGTAACATTTGTCAGTTTTTGTGGCATAAATATTCTTGCAGTGCTGACTCCAAGCCACAGATGCTTTAAATAATAAACTATCAACATAGGTGAAACTTAGTCATCAGCTCTTAAAAGCTGGTATCATCTGACTCTATCTTCTTAGTCTTTTCGTTGGCTTTAATTTTTTTTCAAAATGCTCATTCTTCAAAAAAAATTTTATTTATTTATTTTTATTTTATAAGTATGTGTTTTGCCTGCAAGTATGTAAGTGCACCACATGTCGTGCAGTGCCTGCAGAGGACAGAAACAGGCATCAGATCCCCTGGAACTGGAGTTAAAGATGGTTGTTAGCCACCATGTGGATTCTGGGAACAGAAACCAGGTTCTCTGCAAGAGCGGACATACTCTTAACCACTGAGCCATCTCTCCAGTCCCCAAGATTGCTCATTCTTATCTGTCATGTTATGTAATAGTTTACTTAGGTATTGGCTTTCTGCCCATTAGGGTTTCAGTTTTATATTTTGTCTTGTCCACTGCTCTGCCTCCACTCTCTGAAATACACCATGGTATAGAAAAGGGACTCAAAACTTTGTTAAATGATAGAACTATTTAATCCCAGCTTTTCTCTTGCTTTATAACATTTTTAACATTCTGAAAAAGCAAGTAATTAAAATGAACATCCGAGAAGCTAAAATATATTTTTAAATTGTACTGATATAAATATCTTACGTCTATTCAAAGCAGATATTTTAGGTCTTAAAACTTACTTGTTGGTTTGGTCCACAGGTACAGAGATCCCATTTGGAATTAAATTAATGTCTTTTTGATCCCAGTATATCTGTAACCAAAATGTAATTAGGTAGTAAACATGAAAGTAAGTCTATCATTATTGACAGTACATTTTTCCTATGGAATTTAAATGACTGGGGATAAAAAAATCATTTATGTAAATCATTTATGTAGCTCAGTCTTTTATTTGTTTGTGAAATGGGGTCTAGCTATGCACCCCAAGCTGGCCTCAAAATTGCATTGCTTGTACACCTACTTCCCAGCTCCTTGGATGCACTACCACACTCAACTTCAGACTTTTAAATACATCTAATTTTTTTAAAACCTACTTTAATACATGTTGTAAGTATATTTCAAACATATATTGTTCTGTTTAGTTGATTACATTATTTGCATTAAATGAATAATTGCTACATCTTTATTTAAGAGTCTGTAGACACAAGGTATACAAATGAAGACCAAGTTGAAGGACAATCTTGCAGCACAGAAGTAAGTTATTTTTCAAAAAATAGAGATATTCCATATTAAGGATTCTATAAGAAAGTTGTTTTTTAAAATAATAATAGATTAGGGCTGGGGTTATGTCTCAGTTGTACAGTAGTTTCTTAGCATGCACCAGGCCCCGGGTTCAATCCCAAGCACCCTCCAAAAAACAGATTAAAGCTAACCTATAATCTAGCTTTGACTACTACTCACAGAAAAATGCATATGAAGATCTTCAAAGTCACCATCTTCATAATTTAGAATTTCTTGCAAATTCCTATTGAAAATTTAATTTAATATATTTAATTTGTATATGTATATTTAAATTATTAATCATAAAATTTCAAAAGGAACAATTGTTCACTGGGAAAAAATTAAACAATATAGACATTTCCTCTCCTGCTCCTTCCCACTCATCATCCTGATTTCTATTTAAAGTTTGATTTGTCAGCCTACTGCCACCTCACTGACAATGCTGTGTAAAAATTTTCTTTTGTACCAGTGGCTCTCAAGCAAGAAGGTATCTACCTCCTAGGACATTTGGCAAAGTCTGGCGATATCTTCAGTTGTCACAATTAATGGAGGGTTGCTACTATCATCTAATGAGTAGTGACCTCAAACATTACCAACCATTTCACAATGCCCAAGCTAGCCCTCTACCCTACAGAAAGAATAAAATACCTAGATGCCTAGGACTATGGCTCAGTGGTAGAAGCTTTTGTTTAGGATGCAGGAGGCCCTGGGTTGGATCCTCAGAACATTTTTTAAAGCCCAAAATGTTAATAAATCCAATGTTAAGAAACTCTGTGCTAATATAAATCTGGTCAATTTATTCTACCACTAACAGTCTGTGAAAAGAGAATTATTTCTTTCAATTTATCATCAACACTTTAAGGAAAATTTTGTTGTCAATCTGTAAGCAGAAAAAATAGTGTTTCATTTTCATTCACTCAATTACTATTGAAGCCAAGCATGTTTTCATCTTTAATTTTTTTAAATTTATTTTATGTGTATGAGTGTTATGCCTGCATGTGTGTAAGAACACCCATGTTGTGCAGTGCCTGCAGAGGACAGAAGAGGGCGTCAGATCCCCTGGAACTGGAGTTACAAATGGCTGTTAGCTGCCATGTGGGTGCTGGGATTCGAACTCGGGTCTCCTGCAAGAACAGCCAGTGTTCTTAACCAGTGAGCCATCTCTCCAGCCCCATGTTTTCATCTTTTTATATGTACATATACTTGTAGCACTGTAACTATTGACAGCATATGAAGGATGACACATGTACATATTGTGGACTCCCAAGCGTAACTGTTTCCACCTTTTTAAAATCAAAAGAGCAGTCCCAAGTGTGTTTTTTTTTAATTAGCCAACATTCAGAGGAACATTTGGCTTTTCCTTATTTTTTAAGGCTTGCTCTGTTATAAGGCATGCCAGCTGAAGCTCATCTAAAGGGCACATAATCTTAAAATTGAAGACCTTCCCTGTGTCTCTCAGTGTGTGATACTATTTGCATCTGAACAATTGAGATTTAATGCTATCCTTAAGAATCATATATATGTACTTACTCCCCCCAAAGAAAACTGAGTTCTTTTAAATCTTCTAAAGATGGCTTTTGGTCCAGAAGTTTCTTGTACAGACCCAGTGGGAAGGGAAGGTTGGCAGCATTTAGGTTGACTAGAGAAAGTCCACACAATATTCCAAAGAGGAAATATCTCTTCTTCTCAAATTTAGGCTGGAAAGTAATATTTAAAAAAAAATCTCTAAAGTATTTTAGTCAGTTACACAAAGGCACAATTAGACTAGTAATGAAAAAAAATTTAGTTTCTTTTTCTTTTTTCAATATGTATTTTTATGCATTTCATACTATACTACTTAATCATATTTAGACCCCCTTCCCTATCTGCAGCTCTCCAAAGTACCCCTCCGACCAGATTTCATGCATTCTGTCATATATGCCAAGGCCTATCAAGTCAAGTTTGTGTCCCCAGATGTCCTGTGGTATGAGTTCATCCACTGGAGCCTGGTCAGCCTATGTAGCATCACTCCCTTAAAGAAAACCAATCTCCCTCACCCAGCAGTGATCAGCTGTCAACAGTTCCTGAGCTAAGGTTGGGACTTCTTGCTCATTTTCCCAGTTCTATGCTGGATTTTTGTCTGGTTTGAGTTTGCATGGGTCTTGTGCATGCTGCCACCATTGCTGTAAGTTTATATGAGCAACTTCCCAGAAGCCTGGAAGACTCTGCTTCCTTGTGGTCATGCATCACCCCTGGCTCTTACAATCTTTCTTCCTTCTCTTCTGCAAAGTTCCCTGAGCCCTGGGTGGGTAAGGTTTAATATAGGAGTCTTATTCAGAGACATGTACTCTGCAATCTCGTATTCTCTAGATTTTGGACAACTGTGACTTTCTGTGTTCATCTCCCTCTATTGCACGAGGAAGCTTCATTGACGAGAGTTGAGAGATGCAACAGTATTCTCTCTACCCCCGTTCCACTGTGTTCCATGAGCCATAGGTATAGAGGTTCCATTAGTTCCCTTTTCTAATTAGCATCACAAGTTAGAAACTGGGTTCCAGAAGAATAAAAATTTGAGACTCTTTTATAGATAATATAATGTAAAATTCTTCAATAATTTTCTTTCTTTCTTTTTGCTTGTTTGTTTGAGACATGAAGGCTGATCTCTAACTCACTGTATTGTTGAGGATACCCTTGAACTCCAGATCCTCTACCAAGTACTAAGAGTAAAGCCATGAGCCACCATGCCCTGCTTCTTGCGTAATTTTCAATATAAGTTAAAAATACAGAATATTATGCAAATAAATACTTTGGTAACTGACAGCACATCTGAAATGTAAAAACATATGCTCTGATGGAGTTACAAAGTTTTCATGAGGAATTTATAGTAGTTACTTTCCAATTCATGGATAAAAGCAACATGGAAGGGTGTAGTGTACCTACAGTCCCATTTAGCAGTGCTGTGCCAGATGAGTGTTTCATGAATGGTGGCCCCCTTCACCCCTTCACCAATGCAGCACAACCTCATGGGGCTCCAGTCTCATTCTGGCATCTGTCCTACTATGTAATCTCTTCACTTGCACAAGTTCCTGTCTCAATGCCTTGTGCCAGGAAGTCCTCATAAGAGATAAACAGACATTGGCACCATACCCGTGGACTTCTAGAATTATGAGCTAAGTAAGCTTACTCTTTATAAAACACCCAGGATATTCACGTTAGTAACAACAGAAACATAGTAATACAGTGGCCTTCACTTTTCTGTTCTGCCCCTTGTTCTGGTGAGAGAAAAAACCTTCCCAGGCTATAGGTGCAGCTCAGGGGAGGAAGAGTCACCAATTTGAAATTCTAAGGTTTCTACTCCTGTGCCATCCTTGCTATTGGCGTGAAGTTGGGTAACTCACATGGTGTTCCTCAATGTAGTTGCCCCATTTACTCCTCAGAGTAAGTGTAAGGATGAATGAATTCTGAAATGAGCGAAAAATACAATACAAATAATCTGCAAAGGTGCCTCTCTAAACCTAATCAATTTTCTTTCTAGTAATTTGTAACATGTCCCCTGGTTCAATTTGACTTTCTCATTTCATCAAGACTACACAAACTGAAAAAAAAATTAGGTCTCTGTTTTCTACTTAGAAGACTGCATAAATGCTTCAGGGTGAGGGCTTTGCTGAGCGTACTGTTGCAATTCTGTAGTCCCAGCACTTGGAAGGCAGAAGCAGGAGGCTTGTGACATCAAAGCTAGTGAGCCATAGATTACAAGACCCTGTCTATAAATAAATAAACATCACAGAAATCAATCAACTTTTCAGAATATGTAGTTATTTCTACAATTCTATCAACAATTTCTCATCTAATTTGAAACATTCCATATTCTTTAAAAATTTTTTGATTTTTATTTTATGTATATGAGTGTATTGCTTGCATGTAAGTAGGTGCACCCGTGTCGTGCAATGCCTGTGGAGGTCAGAAGAGGGCGTTGGATCTCCTGGAACTGGATTGCAGACAGTTGTTAGCCTCCATGTGGGTGCTGGGAATTGAACCTGAGTCTCTGCAAGAGCAGTCAGTGCTCTTAACCACTGAACCATCTCTCCAGCCCCAAAATATTACATATTATAACTCTCAAAATTAAGGATATATCCCAAATATCCACCCATCAGAGATTACATAAACAAACTGTACTTATATCCTCACAATAGAATATTACTCCACAGTTAAAAAAAAAAAAGCAAACTGTGGACACATGCCATGACATCGGTAAACCTCAGCATAATTATACGGAGTGAAAAAAGACAGATGTTAAAGACTAGATTATGATTCCGATTACATAGATTATAGGACCATTCTATGATGCCACTCTGTAGTGACAAGAAACAGATGAGTGTTTGCTTAGGAAGAGAGGGCCAGGAGTGGGAAGAGATATGTGGAAGGGCTTCAGGGAAACTTTAGGTGACGGTGAACATGCTCACTGTTTTGACTGCGGTTATTGTTTCATGGTTGTGCACATATATCAAAAACACCCAATCAGACACTTTATGTGCACTTCTCAGTATCCCAGTTACATTTCCTTAATGCTAAATTTTAATGTGTGCAAGAATCACTTGGGGGATTTTCGTGTGTGTGTGTGTGTGTGTTAAGACTTTCCAATTCTCTAGGGGTAAATACCACCCTGCCCCCAAAACAGGGTCTCACTAGCAACAACCCAAGCTGTCCTTACACTTGAGTTTTTCCTGCATATTAAGTGCTGGTGTTATTTATACAATATCACACTCAGCTGAAATCTGGCTTTCTAAATGCTTCTAGAACATGCCATAGCTGCTGCTCTGTGGACTACATATGTGCTACTAAAAATATAAGTAGCAAAGTTGTATGGTCCCAGTTTTCCATCATTATCTATGGTTTTCATATTACAGTATATGGTATGCTTTATGAGAAAGATGGTACTTACATTGACTGGAAACCACATGTAGGATCCATTTTCAGGTTACACAAACATTTCATGTTTTGGATGTGTCATCTCTTCAAATATACAGTGGAAGAACTCTAAACTCACACCCCCACTCTCAGGACGAATTTCTTTAATAAATTTAACCTAGGGAAAGAAAATATATCCCAAGGCTTGGATTTAAAATACAGTTCATCTTTATGGATGATTGCATTCACTAGAATTGTCAGACCCCACAACCTTTTATCTCCTTATACTATCCTCCCTCAGTTTCCTTCCAGTCAGTAAAGGCCATGAGTCTGTTTATTTTCAAGTTGTTGGGCAGTGAGTGCAGGCATCCTTTAGACTGCCACCTTCACCCAGGGGAGGGAGACTCTGGCAAGACTTGACATCCATTGATTCTGCTGAGCAATATCTTGACCCCAACTCTGATGTGTTTCTAACACTTGGGTCACTAAATTCTCCAGTTATCCCACCTTGTTGTCTGTCTTGTCATTCAGACTGAGCAAACTTGCATTCAATGAACAGCAGTTGGTTTCTCTAGTCTCTGTACTCATCATTGCTTCCAGTCATCATGGCCTAAAGACCTTAAACTCTAAGCTGATCTCACATAGGATTCAGGTAAAAACATCTATATTAACCAGCCCCCTTAAAAAAAATTCTTCCTGCCTTTGGACCTCACGGCTGAATACTGTTTTGATTTTTACCCCGCCAACTCTAACAACTTTTCTACTTCTTTTTCTGCCCAATTTCACTTTATTTATTTATTATTCATTCATTCACTCACTCAATCATTCAATTATTGGTGCTGGGGATTGAATTTGGATCCTTCATGCATGCTAGGCAAGAGCTCTACCACTCCCAGATATTTTTTTTAATGTAAACACAACAGAGGAATATTTCTCAGCATGAAACTCCAAGAGAAAACAAAGAAACTATTTCATTTCATAAACCAGACTTTCTAAATTGTAATCCTATTGTATTTCTAATACAAGCTTCATTTCTTTACTATTTGTTCTCTTTCTAGGCGGATACAGCTTGTCTGCTGATCTTTGATCAAACTCATTGGCCACAGGCTATCATCATGCCCAGGGGTAGCCTTGAACACAGTCACAAATTAAGCTTACTTCTAACTTCCTTATTTCTGTTTATAGACTATCAATTCTGCCTGCAACCCAGTCAGGACTCATAATGACCTCTGGCAATTTTGTCATGCTCAATCTATAGTGTATCTTTTGAAGACAATTTCTTACTTTTTGAAGAACGTCATTTCGATAGGGGAGATAAGTTTCTGCTGATTTCCTCCCAGATGAAATATAAGAAAAATAGATACAAAGGGAGTCTTAAAATTTCAAAAGTTTGGTTTATTTTTTAATTAAAAAAATTTTATAAGCCAGGCCTGGTGGTGCATGCCTGTAGTCCCAGCACTTGGGAGGCAGAGGCAGGCGGATCTCTGTGAGTTCAAGGCCAGCCTGGTCTACATAGTGAGTTCCAGGACAGCTGGGGCTACAGGGAGACCCTTCTTCAAAAAGACAAAAAAAAAAAAAGTTTAATTATTTTTATTTTATATGTTAGTACTTTGCCTGCATGTAAGTGCACCACATGCATGCAAGGCCCCACAGAGGCCAGAAGAGGGCGTCAGATCTCCTGGAACTGGAGCTATGGACAGTTGTTAGTTGTCATGTGGGTGCTGGGAATTGAACCTGGGTCCTTTGGAAGAACAGCAAGTGTTCTTAATCACTGAACCATCTCTCCAGCCCTCAAAATCTATTTATTAGAATCTATTTATTATCTCTAAATAAATAATTTGTTATTTATTTATTTATGTAATCATTTCTTTGTTTTCTATTGGAGTCCTATTCTGGGAAATATCCTTTTTTTTTTTTCTGAGTCCTACCCTCTAGGACCTGGTTTCCTGTTGGAGAGCTTACCATTTCCCCTTTCAGCTAATATATTAGAAATTCACTTCCTTCTGGACAGACTACAGCTCTTAACCACAGAATTAGTCAATATTCTATTCTGTATACAAATGATCTGAGGTACCACATTATAAACACCTCACAGGCATTAAATGTAGAGGTGCTGGATCTGAAACCTACATTGTAGAGGGTCCGGACCCAAACTATGGGAAAGGCCTGTTTTACCTGCTCCTTGTTGATTGAATGAAGAGTCTCGATCCTTCTCTCCTTAATAAAAACCTTTTGCATGTGATTTTGTGTGTTTTTTTTTTCCACTAAAGAAATTAGTATATTTTCCCAGCCTTTGACTTGAGTTCAACCATGAGATATCTTTGGTTTAAGCAATATTTATTTAATGATTGCTAACTTTCATGCCCAGCTGTGCTATGGGAACATGCTCCCTAGTCCCAAGAAGAGGAGGAAAGATATACAAAGCATGGTCCAATGTCCTCAGCCAGGACTCGTATGGCTCAGCCAACCCTATGCAACTTCCATGTAAACAAACTGACAAAAATCCGTGGACTGGTGATACAGCTCATAGGTAGAAAGCCCTTGCCTAACATGTGGAAATCCCAGTTCTATTCACACACATACACACACACACACACACACACACACACACACACACCCCACATGCACTCACACACATAACCCTTTAAAAAAAAAAAAAAAGACACCCAGAAGTTCAGCCTGGATCAGTAGATTTGTAAAATAGATTGTTACTTTATGTCATTAATCACTGGGAAAATTCATTATACTTTATTTGTGTTGTCATCAATAAATGGATTAATCTGCAACTTAATATGTAATTTGATATTCCATACTCCAAGGGTACAGGGGAACTTCTGGAAACCACCACAACTGCAATGCAGCTTTTAAAAGAGAGACTCTGTTACATTATATGAATGTTTCCTCCCACAGTATCAAAAAATGTTCGCTGAGACATTTTACTGTACCACTAATAGTTTCCTCAGGTCAGAGACTTCAGCTTGACTCAGCTGACACATGGCGTCTTCAACCAGGTGACTTCGTTGGACTCTCAGTGCAAATACATTCGATTTACTGTTTCCTTCACACACTATGGCTTCTTGCTTTTGGAAAAAGAAAAGTTTTAGTTGGTTTCTCCTTTTGATCTAAGAATCTCAGAAATCAACATGGGAGTGGTGGGACACGCTATAATGCCTGCACTCAGGAAGTGGAGGCAGGAGAACCTCAAGGCCTGGGGCTGCAGACATGTCAACAGGCAAAGGTGCTTGCCACCAAGCCTCATAACCTGAGCTCAATCTCTGGAAACCAGATGATGAAGGGAGAGAACAGATTCCTACAAGTTGTCCTCTGATCTCCACATGCACAATGCCACAGATGCACACACACACACACACACACACACACACACACACACACACACACACTAAATAAATGACACAAAAAATGTATTGCATATATCCATCCTCACACATGCAAACACGGGTACTCATAACACACACACACACACACACACACACACACACACACACACTAAATAAATGACACAAAAAATGTTTAAAAGAGAATCAAGACCATTCTTGGTTATCTACCAACTTCAAGACCAGCCTGGGCTACATAAGACCCTGCCTTTAAAAAAAAAAGAATCCCAGGAATTCTTTTACAGGTTTTTTTTGTTGTTGTTGTTTTTGTTTGCTCCTTTGGTTTTACTTTTGAAAAGGGTCTCATATACAGCCAAACTGACCTTGAATTCACAACCCCCCTCTGTCAACCTCTTAAGTGCTGGAGTTACAGGCATGAACCATCAAGCTTGATTTTTGTTTAGTACTTCTAACAAAACACACCTTGTGCATCCTGATGATGCTGCTCTATACACTTATTATTACTTAAGAAAAAGGATGTTGAATCTTCACTGTGGAAGACTGAGCTATTATAAGAGCAAATGAACTGTGACATCAGCTAATCATGTACAAAAATTAATCACTCGAGATGAACAGTTAAGCAATTTACAACACCTAAGACCCCCTTATTGTAGTAAGCGTGATCAGTAGAGTCAATGCTGGTACAAACATGCTGAGACAGTCTTCTCCCATCAGTCTTCAGAAGCCCTGTGTTAGTACCAAAACCTTAGAAATAGAAGGGAAATGAAGGGGCTGAAGGATCATGTCCGACATGGGAAGGTGAGAGAAGAGGTATGATCTGCTTTGGGATTCTCTAAAAATGTGCCCCAGGGAGTCTCATTTTTACTAAGTATTGTTCTGGCCATTCCAAGTGATACTCTCTTGAGCTTCTCTGAATTCTCAACACTCTTTCACCGGCTATAAACCGTGGTCTTGTTTCTGCTAACTCCTTTGGATTAGAATTTAGTGATGGTCTTTGTATCCTTGATTTAGCCCTCAACACATCTCTGGGGTTTCTGATATATCACAGGGGCAGTAAATCCTGGACAATGCTCTTGAGGCATTCCTATAACAGTGACAGCTTGACCCATGGATAACAGGTTTCCAGGCAAGGTACGTTTGCCTGTAGCTTTCTTTCATCTCATGGGAAGGGTACATGTAACTCTGGGCTGAGAAATGTGTGCTCCAGATCTCTGCTGCCACCATGTACTGAGGCATTTATACAATTCTACCATATTATTCCGTTTTTCCTTAAGCCTTTCTTTTTTCTGATCCTTTATGGTACTGGGTCATCTTCTGTGTCCTAGAGTCCGTAGCTCTGGGATACTTCAGCAACACTAGCTGCTAAGCCACATGGTCCATGGCTCTGAGTGACACACAGTGGCCACCGATTATTTATTTATTAGCAGGCAGACGTGTCTATAATCTTTCTCACCTAGTGGAGAGTTAGACTGAGAACCTCCATCTTATTTTATTTTCCACCCCTCCACTCCATTCTCTCTATATAGATTTTCCCTTTCTACATTAATGCATTTGAAGTGGTAACTTAGTTTGGGCTTTGTATATCAAATCTCTCAAGAACAGAATTGTAAAGTTTGCTCTCCAAGTCCACCCATGAGAATTCCAATTAGGAGGTATTTCTCCTAGCCTTCATAATTGGCAACTTGTTGAAGTCCTTTCATCTACTCGCTAACACAACAGGTTACGCATTGCTGTAGGAGAACATACAGAAGGAAGGAATCCTTTAAGGAAACTTATAAGGAAGTAAGGTTTGAGAAGAAAATACTTTACTTTTTCCCTTTACCAGGATGGTAGAAAAATAAAAATAGAAAAGACCTGGTTAAAATTACTTATGACATTGATAATAGGAACTAATGGCAGCAGAGGGAGAGCCCTTATCTTTGGGACACTGCTAGTATTAGGATACACCTTGGGTCTTGATTGCTTATTCTAAATAAACCTATAATTTATGCCACAGCACATTGGAAAGTATCATATAAGGTACCATGCAATTACTAGAGTATAAAAATACTTTATTACAGGACTGGAGAGATTGCTCAGTGGTTAAGAACACTGGTTGTTCTTGCAGAAGACCCAGGTTCATACCCCAGCACCCACATGGCAGCTAACAACTGTCTGTAACTCCAGTCCCAGGGGATCTGACAGCCTCTTCTGTCCTCTGTGGGCATTGCATGACACAGGTGCACTTACCTACATGCAGGCAATACATGCACACACATAAAAATAATAAATAAAAAATACTTTATTACTAAAATAGCTTCTTTTATGGACATGGTATCCAAGATTTCTTTGTTTTATACAAATGGCAATGTTGCTTGAACCATTAATAAAAAGCAGTAATATGTATGATGTTTGAATCCAATGGATCTTTAAAGTCTGAATATCATAAACTAATACAAACTTTTCTGAGCAATGACCTAGAAAAAAAGCATTGGCAATCAGAAATGTTTGCAAAATCTTTAATATGTTCTTCTAGAGGAAGACCATTATGCCTATCTAGCCCAAAACTCAGACTGATGGTGATAAAGAAAATATATAAATATCACTTGTCCATAATACAACTGTAAGAAAGGGGCAAAAAGGTGACTGTGAATAAAAGGTAAGTTCAGTGACCAAATCAGTCAGTATCTAAAAAAGAAAATCAACTGATGCTTATAAGTCAAGCTCCAAGAACCTTGAAGATTTTAAAAATCCAAAGAACACTAAGAACACAGTAATAACCAAAAGAGGTTAGAGGAAGAAGAGGAGGGAGGGAAAGAAACAGCCTACTAAGTAGTTTTGGTATTGCTCACGCAGGAAAAAGAGACTCTAGAGAAAGTGAGGACTGGAAACAAAAGAATGGCAAATGCAAATTAAACTAAAATATTTAACTCATCAAACTAGAAAAGTTTGTGAAGTTTATTAGCACTCTGCCTCAGTAAGAGACTGAAAGAGGGTTTCATACATTGCTGGGAGGAATATAAATTGGTTAAAAAAGAAAAGAAGGAAGGAAGGAAGGAAGGAAGGAAGGAAGGAAGGAAGGAAGGAAGGAAGGAAGGAAGAAAGAAAGCCCAAAACACACATGGTGTAATCTGGTAACATTTAATAATTTAAAAGAAAAGATTAAACATTATACTACTTTGCTTTATGAGTGGTATTTAACCATTTTAAGGTAATCAAATAGCCCTTATTAATGAGGAAAAAGTTCCAGAATTCTAGGTAAAAACTTTAGAAGAAATAAAGTTCGAAATAGTACTATGCTGCAAACCTTAACAAAATGGGGGAAATTTTTAGGTAATTTTTCTATCTGTGCAAAAATTTAAAAGATTGGTAAGAAACCTTAAAAATGGAAGCGTCAGGTGGTAATCACCTAAATGACGAATCTTGGCATGCACAAGTGGGAAAACCAGAAGTAATGGGTTAAAGTACAGAGAGTTGGAAAGAAACCTGACCTGAAAAAGCTAGTAATAACTACAAAACTAAAAGTGACAGATGAAAATGTGGCAAAATGGTGATAGCTGCTGAACCTTGGTGATGGCTACCATTATTTCTATTTTATATATGTTTGAAATTTTACATGACAAAAATGTAACCCGTATTGGCTTGGATATGGTTTGAGTGTGTCCTCCAAAGAATCCTGGAAAGCCTAGTCTCCAGTGTGGTAATATCAAAACTTTTAAGAAGTTGGACCTCTTGAAAGATGATTAGGTCATGTGGACCCACCCTCATAAGTGATGAACACTGGCCTCACAGAGTGAATTATTTCTTATGAGAACAGGTTGTTATAAAGCAAGGTCATCCAATACAATCACCTCCAGTACACAGTGAATTCATTTTCTGCTTCTCCACCATGTTTTAATGTTAGAAGTGGGGAGTAGGGAGGGAAGGAAGTGAGGACAGCTTCATTAGAGTTAAATAAGTTCGTTATTTTGTCATGGCATCAAAAACCAGACTAAATATAGCATACATACCAGTGCTTTCGCATGTAAATCATCTTTCATTAATTTAATTTTGGACAGCAAATTAAAAAGAAATGGAAAATCACTGAAAATGACAACCTTGGAGAATTCTTCTGTAGGTACCTAAAAAATAAACAGACAATAGTTTTGACAAAGAAAAGAAAAATGACACATTCGTTCCTTTAGTTCATTACCTTATTTACTGCTACACGTTTTGGAATCTATTTTTAAGAATCCAATTACTGAGAAGCACCTTTCCTTTCCCTCCCTCCCTCCCTCCCTCCCTTCCTTGCTTATTTCTTCCTTCCGTCCTTTCTTTCTTTCCTTGAGACAGGATGTCATATATCCCAGGCTGGCCTCAAACTCACTATGTAGCAGAGGATGACCTTGTACTTCTGATTCTCCTGCCTCTACCTCCCATGTGTGGAGATTATAGGCATTCACCAACACATCTGGTTTATTCAGGCTGAGGATTGAACGCAGGGCTTCATGCATGCTAAGAAGACACTCTACCAACTGAGCCACATCTCCCGTCCCTAGAGGTACATTTATAAGAATACTCATTCATTTTGTGACCAAAAGGTTTATATTTTCAATTATCATCTAATTTGGCAAATTTATCATTGAAATGAGGAAATATTCCAATCTTGATTTATCAAAGGGATACCTACATAGCTACTACTGTGTCCTGGTTTAAATCATGAACATTTTCAAGAATGAATATGTTATTCTTACCACATTATTGTCCCAAAAGAAAAGATTTTTCCTCTTTTCAATGAAGTCCAAGAGGTAGGAAAGTTCATCTATGTTGAAAGTACTTTCTGGTAGTTGACAGTTAACTTTGTTTACCTTAAAAAGAATTTCATTTCCTATTAATAAATGACTTAATTTTTGATATATATATATATATACTGAATATACATTTATCAATGATAAAGTAAGGGTATTTTAGATAAGTTGAGTTGGATTATGACCTTCACTCTTAGGATATTCTATTGGAGAACCAAATTCTGTCACTCCAGAATTTTCCATCCACAAAGAACTGGTCAGTCTTTTCAGAAGGTTCTGTCTTCCTCATGGCACCTTCTCTAATGCCAGCACACGGTACATTTGCAGTGACGTTGATTGATCTGGTCCATTCTTATATCTACAAATGCTAGTTGTATGTCAGTTTAGATGCCTGTGTCTTTCTTGCTTTTTCAGTTACACACATATATATTTATGATATGTGAAGAAGTGTTATGTATATTCCACAAAACAATATATGTAATTCACTCAGTGGGCATTTTACAAATATATGCCCAATAAATTTAAAAAATCATCTTGATTCAGTGTCAGAGCAATAACGGAGGTAGTCATAGGGCAGGGTAGAAAACTGGGGTGAGGAAGCCCTTTCCTACAGGAGAGGTGAGGGACAGGCCACAGAGAGAAGACGACACAGGAGCCGTAAGAGAGATCTACGGTAACAAAAAACCCCTCACAATGATGTCTTCCAAGTGCAGGTACAAGAGCTCCTATGATGTGGCCACAGAGGATGCCAGCTTTTACCTCAAGCCAAGTCTCTGCCAGGCCTTTGAATTCCAACACCGATGACCTTGGAAATAAATCATTCCTGGCCTAGCCAAAAGAATTAAAAAAGGATTCATTCTGTATTACACATGTCTTTCTTATACAGGATAGTAATAAGCAAACACCATCTTAAATCTAGATAGTAAACAGTACTTGGGTCCATACAGTCTGCCACAGGTATTCCACCTGGCCATTTGGTGTGCTATTTGGCATTAAAGCAACCATAGGTAAGTACATTATGGTGGATGTGTTCTGTTGAAGGTTAATTTACAAAAACAAAAGGCTCTCTGTGGGTATGGATTCCACCAAAGGTGAAATCAGCAAGCATCCTGGCATCTAGGAAACAGTTTCTGATTAGGTGTGTACATAAAGGTTCCCAGAAGAAACAGTGTTCTAAAATCAAAGGCTTAAGTAAGTGTGCAGCATGTTAAGTTAATCTGAATGATAGAAAGTAGGAAATAAGAAAGTCAATAAGAAAGGACATAAATTAATAATATACACAACAAAACAACCAACAAAACAAAAAAACATATATAAGAGAGAATTGAAAACCACAAAGATTTTGTTTTTTAGATAGGGTCTCACTGTTGTACTGGCTGTTCTAAAGCATCCCAAGTTTGATCCTCCTGTATCAGCCTCCCAGGTTCAAGAATTTTAGGTGAATGCCACTACTCCTAGTTCAAATGAATTAAAAAAATTTTTTTAAGCCAACCTCCTTTTGAAAACAAAAGGGACACAAATAGCTAGTATCACGATTGGCAAACAGGACAAAACAATCTACAAAGTGTGATGAAATTAAAATGATAAAAGCATTCAAAAATGTTCATTAGTAAACAAATTCTTAGAAAACATTACTGATGCACAAAGACATGCAAAACATTTCAGCTTTTCAAGAAATTAAATCCATAATTTAAAAAACCTTCCCTAGCTGGGCATGGTGGTATACACCTTTAATCCCAGCACTCAGGAGGCAGAGGTAGGTAGATCTCTGAGATCGAGGCCAGCCTGTTGTACATAACAAGTTCCAGGCCAGCTGAGGCTACAGGAGACCCTGCCTCAAACAAAACAAAACAAAACAAAACAAAACAAAACAAAAAACCCTTCCCACAGGGGGCTGGAGAAATGGCCCAGTGGTTAAGAGCACTTGCTGCTTTATGAGGGATTGGTTTCTAGCTCTTTTATGGGGGATTGGTTCCTAGCACCCTCAAATGTCTGTAACTACGGTTGCAAGAGATCCAATGCCTTCTTCTGGCTCCTGTATGTGCCAGCACACATGTGGCACACATAAAATACAGCAGGCAAATACACATACACATTAAAACATAAAAAAGCCCTTTCCACAAGACTGGGGATATAATGCTCACTTGGTAGAATGCTTGCTAGCAAACACAAAGCCTTAGGTTTGATCCCCAGTACCCAATAAAATCAAGCATGGTGGCACACACCTATAATCCAAAAGACTTCCCACAAAGAAACTCCAAATCCAAGAAGTTTCATATATTCTACAACTCCAAGGAAAAAAGAGTCAATATTATATAATCTCTTTCATGTAGCAGAAAAAGAGGGGCATCGCTAAATCATTCTGGCATCACCTTGATCCGGAAACCTGAGAAGAGCTTCACAAGAAAGTGAGATAACAGACAGGGCACTTTCATGAACAAAGATGGCTGCACTTTAATGTGACTCCTTGTGGTTCCAGTTTAGCTGGCTGAGACCAAAGGAGTTGGAATGTAACAAATTGGCATATACACTCCTTTAGACGAAACCCTTACCGCATGCACTTCTTTCATCGTTCCTAGAAGAGCTTTTAAATTATAGGGACTCTGAAAGACTGTAGTCACATCACACATTTGAGCGACGATGGCTGTTTTAAGCATCTGGACCAGTGTGTTCAGTGAAGATGCTTCCAAAGATGCCCAGCACTTTTCTGAGGGGTGTAAAAACCAAGCGTGATAAATATGTTTCTCCTCTTAAATCACTCAGTTTCTATTGGATTACGTAAGCAAGAAATCGACAATGTTTTTCATATCTAATGGCACAACCCATAAAATATTTCTTCTAAGGACATCATCTCAGATTATGTCACAAGTGTGGGGGAAGTTTTATTCTGAAAAAGTATTATTAAAATTAAAAGCTCAACACCAGGCATGGTGCTCTGGGAGCAGCACTTGGGAAGCAGATCTATGAGATCGAAACCAGCCTGGTCTACATAGTGAGTTCTAGGCCAGCTTGGGCTACAGGTAACTATATCTCAAAAAAAAAAAAAAAAAAAAAAAAAGAAAATTAAAAACAAAAAATAAAAACTCAAATTTAGGATTTGAAGAAACTTGCTCAGATATTACACTTATCTGATTGTCCATGATTTTCTTTGTTTTTGTTGTTTTGCTTTGATTTGGTGTTTTAAGACAAGTTATTGCTATATATCCCCAGCTGACCTGGCCCTGGATACATAGCCTAGGCTGGTTCTGAACTTTCAGGAATCCTCCTGCTTCACCCTCCTGGGTGTTGAGATTATTAGAATGTGCTGACTTGATGATTTTCAAACTAACAATTTTATCAGATAGCTATAGAATCTAAAAAATATGCAGATGAGTGCACGAACAATGTCACCAATTTTATCTCAGAAACTAAAATATTTTCCTTAGGGGCTGGAGAGATGGCTCAAGGGTTAAGAGCACTGGCTGTTCTTGCAGAAGGCCTGAGTTCAAATCCCAGCACCCAGATGGTGGCTAACAACCATCTGTAACTCCAGTTCCAGGGGATCTGATGTTCTCTTCTGTCCTCTGCAGGCACTGTACAGCATGGGTGCACTTACACACATGCAGGCATCACACTCAGACACATAAAATAAAAATAAAAATTAAAAATTATTTAAAAAATATCCTTTTTCAGATTTTATAAACAACTGCCATATGTATATGGTTATTTAAATATTTTAAATAGTTAATATTTTAATACTGCTGAGACTGCAATTTGGATTTGCACCTTTAAAGGAGAATTCTCAGAAAATAACCTTAGTAAATATTAAAATACCAGGGCGTAGAAGGTATAGGCATGAGAATTAGAAGTTCAAGGCTAGCTTGGCTACCTGAGATACTCTCTCAAAAAACTACAACAAAAAAGCTAAAATAAATTACCAAGCTAATGGAATTAAAATAGTACTACCCAGACGCATGTTAAGTATATTGTGTATTTGTGAAACTAAAACTGATCACTTAATAAATGTGCAGGGACAATTGGAAACTCATCTAGAAAAGATAAAAATCTACCCTATATAAATTATATGTATCAAAGATTTAGGCATAAAAACAAAATAATAAAACTTAGTAGAAAAAAATTCCACCATTTTCAGAACATGGATGGAACTGGAGGACATTATTCAGTGAAATAAGCAAGAAGCACAGTATTTTTTTTTTTTTGCATATGAAAGCTAAAAATGTTGATCTCATGGACATGGAGGCTAGCATAGTGGTCATAGAGCCTGAGAACTGTTGAAACAGAGGGAGGGTGGTTAAGTGGAACAGCTGCGAAGTGGGTAGCAAGAAAAACTTCCGGTGTCATAAATCAGGGTATGATAACTACAGCTGACAATAATCAATTAGTTAAAAATAGCCAGGTGAGCAGGGCGTGGTGGTGCACGCCTTTAATCCCAGCACTGGGGAGGCAGAGGCAGGCGATCTCCGGGAGTCCGAGGCCAGTCTGGTCTCCATAGCGAATCCAGGCCAGCTGGGGCTACAGGGAGACCCTGTCTCAAAAAGACCGAAAAAAAAAAAAAAAGAAAAGAAATTGCCAGGTGAGACTATTTTAGAGGTTCCTGATATAAAAAAATGATAAATATTTGAGATGACACATGTGTTACTTTGATCTGGTCATTACACATTGTATACACTGTTAAAATGTCATACTGTACTTTACAAATATGTGCAATGATTATTTTCCATTAAAATAGCTTTAAAAATAAATAAAATTATAGTAGAAAGGGTTGGGGATGAAGCTCAGTGGTGGAGTACCTACCTAATATGCACAAGGCCCCAGGTTCAATCCCCAGCACCACACACACACACACACACACACACACACACACACACACACACAGACAAAAAGTATGGTAGGAACATGGGAATAGTTTAAAATTTAAGACTAAGTCTTTTGAAATATGACTCCTAAATCTAGAAACAGTTAAGAAAACAGGGTCTTGTGTATCCCAGGCTACTTTTGAACTATGTAGCCAAGGCTGGCTTTGAACTCTTCCCTCTACTTCTAAAGTACTGGAATTAGCACTATGTCCAGCAAAACCTCTTGAAATAAAAATGCACATACGGGGACTAGAGAAATGGCTTAGTAGTTAAGAGCACTTGCTGCTTTTGCAGAGGACTTAGGTTCGGTTTCCAGCACCCACATGGCAGTTCACAAGTGTAACTCCAGTTCCAAGGGATCCAATGCTCTCTTCTGGCCTCCATGGGCTTCTGCACACACATGGTGCACATACACTCACACAAGCATACACACATACAAATTCAATTAAAAATAAACACACTACTCATTCAACCAATTAAATGCACATATAACTTAATAATTTACTCCTGTAATTGTGCTTCCTAGAACTTTTCCTGCATGTATACACTGATATCCATCCCAAGAAATGTATGTTAGCACTATTATAGCAGCAAAAGAGCAGAAACAACTATCCAGAGCACATCAAGTACAGAGGTTTGGGTGGGGTTTGTCCCCTTAGGCCTGTGTGTTAGCAGTGATAAGGTGGTGGGAATTTTAAGAGATGCTACATAGCAAGAAGCCATTAGGGGAACTATCCTCAGAGCAGAGTAAAGCAGTTCTTAAGGAATACCTGATAGTTCTTGGGAGAAGGTTGTTAGAAAAGAGTGCACGCGTGTGTGTCTGTCTCTGTGTGTGTGTGTGTGTGTGTGTGTGTCCAGTGCAGGATGCTGGGTGTCCTGCTTTATCACACACAGGGCTCTCACTGAGTCTGGAGCTAGACTGGTAACAGGATAGCTTCAATTACCCTCCGAGAGTCTCTGACTCTCGTAGCTCTGGGGTTACTGGCATACACTCAGCCATGCCTGGACTTTTATGGAGGTGCTGAAGATTTGAACGAGCACACTGTACTGGATAGCTTTAGTTGGCAACTTGACACACCTGGGTTGAGGGAGTTTCTATTGGGGAACTGCCTCCATTGGATTGACCTATGGCCATGTCTGTGGGGCATCTTCTTGATTGTTGATGTGGGAGGGCCCAGCCCACTGTGAATGGTGCCACCCCTGGGCAGGTGGGCCTATATTTTATAAGAAATCAAGCCGAGCATGGGCCAGGGGAGTAAGCCAGTAAGCAGTGTTCCTCCATGGCATGTGCTCTAGGTTCCTGCCCTTAGTTCCTGCCTTGGCCTCCCTTGATGATGAACTGTGTTATAAGTCAAATTAACCATTTCCTCCCCAAGCTGGTTTTGGCCAGTGTTTTCATCACAGCAATGTGAAAGTGAAGTACAACAATATCTCATCATTTTGAATAAAATATACAGTAGGAAAAAGTTTAATCTTGGTTTTCATCACCTCTGGTCAAATGTTTATAATACTGAATACTGTGAGTAAAAATGTCTAATATCAAAGTCATATTCAAGTCTAAGAAGAACACTTGCTTTGCTATAAGATTAATGTTATAAAAGGTTTTATTTAATAGTTGCAAAATTCACATAACATTTACTCAAAAGATATATACTATGAAATTTTCCATCCAATATTTGCTACAACTTCTACTTCAGGCAATGATACTCTACTCAGAATACTGACAAAGTGTCACAAAACTTACTCAGGATTCCTAATGATCGGTTAGTCATTTCACAAATAGCCTTTGCAAATTCAATGGTCAGGGTCCTCCAGTTCCTTAGGTCCTGCATCACAGGGCATTCTGGAAGCAAAAGGAAAACCGATAAAGCTTCTTGATGTGGAGAACGGCGTGGAAGAGCTTTGAGCAGGTTCTCCTCGAGACATGTAGTTATCTGTGGTCAAAACAGGATGAAGGACAAAGTCCAATTGATATAGATGCAGAGTACTGTGAGATGCAAGCTGTGGGAACAGAAGTTTCATTCCACTGCTTCCTTCCTCATATCGCTCCTTACATTCCCATGTTCCTGACATAGAACCATCTTCCTTGATGGTTCTATGATGGTACATGAGGGAAATAAAGTGAATGTAATAAATAGTGGGTTGGAAATAATGCAAAGTCCTCCAAAAACAGCTTTGCAAGCTGGTTGCAGTGGCACAGGTCTGTAAATCCTAGCTACTCAAGAGACCGAGGTAGGATGATCACTTGTGCCCACAAATTCAAAACCAGGTTGGGGAACACAGTGAGATAATTCCACTCCATCTCAAAAAGGAAGAAAGCTGGGGATATATAGTTTAGGTAGCAGAGCTTGCCTAGCACACACGAAGCCCTGGCTTTGATCTCCAGCACCACATAAACCAAGTGTGGTGGTACAACACTCAGGAGACGGGCAGAAGTTCAAGGTCACCCCAGAAAGTCTATGACACATGAGACCCTGTCTTGAAAAAGTAAAAGAGAAAAGAGATGGAAAAGCTATCACCCTTTCTCACACATACATACAAAATCCATTTCTGCCTTCATAATTTTTCAGAGCCAAAATAGCACTGAATTGTTACTTATTTTATCCAGAGATAAACTTTTAAAATAGAATGTATACAAAAACTAGTAATAGGAATAATTCAAAGTTTTTGGTTGTTGCTTTATCTTTTGAAATAGGGTCTTGTTATGTACCCCAAACTGGCCTAGAACTCTTGAACTTTTGACCTTCCTGCCTCCACTTCTCAAGTGCTAGAGTTACAAGCAGGAGCCCCTTTGCCTGGCTGAAAGGTATTTTTCATATTTGTCTGAACGTTCATTGAGTACGCACCATGTACCAAGTGGTCACACAAAAATTATTTCAATAATTGTGCGAGGTAGTTTGTGTTTGTTTGTTGCTGTTGTTTTTTACTTTTTTTTCTTACAGATGAGAAGAGACTCAATTGAAAGACGTTAAAGGAAGGAAGTCGCTCAGCTAATGACAGATCAGGAATTCAAACCCAGACCGCTCTGATCTAAAATCTAGTCTTGCGGAGAAAAATTCTGCCCTATGTTCACCTTACTAATTTGATTTTCCTTCTGGGGTCACAAGAAGATGGTGCTTCCCAATGTCCCCTGGAGCTGGATGGCCCTTGTGACTTGAGTCTTAGCTTCCAAATGTGAAGGTGCTATGGAACTCTTTCAGGTATAGCCTCTGTGGTCTCTCATGTGACCTTCCACACTCTTTCCTCATTGGCCAAACCCAGAGATCCAATAGAGGACTTTATAGCCTGAGATTCTTGAGAATCTGAAAAAGAGCCTGAGTCAAAGAAGCTTCTTTCTGCAACAGATGGAGGCTACTGCAGAATTGCACATCTGGTCAGACACAGAGCACATACATCTGAGAGATGCCCAGTACTAGATGACATATCTATAGTTGAACATCTACAACTAAGGCTCACAGAACATAGCGAAACAAGGGGTAGAGAGAAAACAAATGCATTCCTCAACTCTCACCAGTAAAGCTTCCTTATCCAACAGAGTGTGATGCTCACAGAAGACCACAGCTGGTCAAGTTTTAAAGAATAAGAGACTGCAGAGTGTGGGATAGGACTCCTATATTGAACCTCACCCACCACGGCTCAGGGACCATTGCAGAAGAGGGGGTGGAAAGACTGTAAGAGCCAGGGCTGATTCACGAACACAGGGAAGCAGAGGCTTTCAAACAACTGGAAGCTTGCACATATGAATTTGTGGCAATGGTGGCATTGAGCACAGGACCCATGCCAACCAAATTAAACAAGGGCCCAAAGGGGAGGAGAGAAATGGGTGGTGGGCTGGCACTAGACTGAGAACTATTGGAAACTGATTACTGCTGGGTGAAGGAGAGTATGACTTACATATAATCTCTAGATGGGCTGACTAGACACCAGTGGACGAATTTACACTGAAGGACATTTGGGTACAAGTGTGAAGTCCTATATGCCCTTTATTACATTTAACATTCTTTGGGTTCTTTATGTCTAAAAGAATGTAATTTCTATGGAATGATAGCAAGTATTATGTGGGGAAAACTCATTGCAAAGTCAGTAACTCCAAGAAAAATAAAGTAATGAAGTTAGAGTTCCTTCACTTTATGACATCATAGAATATTGGATTTCTAATGTGCATCACAACGCAATAGTGTGCATCATTTTCAAAGGGATTTTATTAAGAAACCCTTTCTATGACATTAACCCTTCTCAGAAATTACACTGAGAACACCCCAAGTTCTCTCCTATCATGTGAATAAATGCATTGTTCAAATATATATAGCATTACTATTCTTCACCTTCAAAATAAAAATATAGTCTTTGCTACACAATAAGAAAATATTCCTTCTTTCTTTTCCAAATGTAGAACCCACTTGGATCCATTTAAATGAAATGGTTAACCTCATGTGTATGTGTATATGTGGTGATGGGGATGAACCCACAGCTCATACATGCTTGGCAAGTGCACTATTGCCGAGCTACACCACTGGCCTGATGATTACTTTAAACCCAGGACATTTGAGATGCAACTGAGGCAGAAAGCAGTCACTTTGGAGCTTTTTGTACATCTGACTAAAGCAGAGGCTCCTGGGAGCAGAGCTATAAACCTCTCTTAGCTTCACTGCCAAGGAAGAAACTCAGCACTCAGGCCACATGTACCCAGATGAGGAATATCTCTCTGTCCCAGTTTGTTCTGCCCAGAGAAACTTTTTTGCCCTGTTAAGCTAGTTCATAAACCCAGATCTAGCTTTTAATTCAAGTGAATATGGCCTGTCTTCCTTTCTCCTGTGCTTTAGATTGCCTGTGTTTCCCTAGAATTCATGTGTTGAAGTCCTCCAATGTGATGGTATTAAGAAGAGGAGCCTTTGGTAATTGATTCAGTCATAAGGGTAGGGTCTTCACGAATGGGATTAGTGCTTACAAGTAAGAACCCTAGCCCTTTCTATCATGTGAGGACACAATGACGATCTTTTATCAATCAGAAAGTCTACCATTATCCAACACCAATTATGCCAGCACCTCAATCTTAGGTTTCCAAGCTTCCAAAACAATAAAAAAAAAGTCTATCTCCACTGTTTAAAAGCCACCCATGCTTGGAAACCCTTATGACGCTGTGACAGTCACAAGGTACTAACACATCCTGATATCTGCCGGTGTTCATTTGTAGCTCCCTGCACCCCAACCTAAATTAGTAGACGTTTTCCTTTCTATATAACCCGGAATCACAAAATATTAGACATTAAAAGTGAACTGAAGTCGCAGGCAAAGAAAACATTACTCAGAGAAGAGAAGGGATGAGTCTGTAGCAGAGATTCAGCTCAAGTATACCTGAGACTCATCCCAAAACAGACAAAAAGCCAATCTCTTACCTGAGAGGTTAGCTTGCTTCCCAAACCACTGTGCTTTTCATGTACTGTGCTACAACCTTTTACAGCTCAGCATTACTTTCCTCTTATTGAAAACATAAATAGCCTATCCTCTGTACATTTAATGGTTTAATAAGAAAATCGATGCTGCCACCTAGCCCAGTGTCTGGGATCTGGTAACTTCCTAACACATACTAGCTCCCTGCTCAGCCCTATCACAGGCCCTTGTCATCACCTCTCCACATTAAACTCCTATTATATTTGTTCCTGTAAAGAAATCCTACTGTGCTATGCCTCAAGTGAGTAAAACAAGTATTGGCTATTACCAAGGAAGAAATCCATGTCACTTTCGTTAACTTCGTGAAGACATTGCTTGCCATTTTCAAGTCCACATCAATGGAAATCTTTTCTCCAGTACCTCTAAAAATACAATAAATGTTAAAAACATATAAACAGATAGAAAGGGGATATTTTTAAAGTTCATATCCTTTTTTTGCTTTGTTTTGTTTTTGTTTTGAGACAGGGTCTCCCTGTTGCTTCAGCTGGCTTGGAACGTGACCAGGCTAGCCTCAGTCTCATAGAGACCTGCCTGCCTCTACCTCCTGAGTGCTGAGATTAAAGGTGTGCACCACCACAACTGGTGACATAAACTTTTTTTTTTTTTTTGGTCTTTTTGAGACAGGGTCTCTCTGTAGCCCCAGCTAGCCTGGAACTCACTATGTAGACCAGGCTAGCTTTGAACATACAGAGATCTGCCTGCCTCTGCCTCCCAAGTGCTGGGATTAAAAGCATGCACCACCACGCCGACATAAACTTTTTAAAAAGCTTATCTCTTTTCAAAATACTAGACTTGCTAGACACAAAAGATGTACAGACACATTCTTGTTAAAAGACAGTAAATAACAATTTATTATTTATATAATCAGGTATGAGCTGCAATATTACTAAGATTTTACTTTACCTTATTTCATCACTTTATTTTGTGATGCTAGGATTGAACCCAGGGCCTATGACCTAGGACCTCACACATTCGAAATAAATTACCACTGAGTCACAACCTCAGTCTTGCAAGATTTTATAATCTAGGTCTAAGAATTTGTACAGTGAGGATTGGAATGATCTCTCTCCATATGCAGTACCATTTGCATTTGTTTCTTTATTTCTTTTTGAGATGGTCTTGCTACCCCCAGGCTGGCTTCCAGCTCCTGATCTTCCTGCCTCAGCCTCAAGTGTTGGGATTACAGATGTGCACCACATCTAGCCACCACTTCTACTTAAGTTCTGCAATTTCACTGTTATATCAGCAGGGGAGTAATGACATATTAGTGGTTTACTATTCTAGGAGACCCTTGCACAGGCAAAAGTTTAATAGTTCATTTTAGAAAATTTTGAAAGACCCAGTAACTCATTAATGGAAAACATTAACACATAGTTTGGGCACAAAGATAATTGAATCTCTTACCTCAAAAATCTTTGTCTCAAAAATCTTTGCCTTGCTGTTTGCACCAACCCTGAATTCTTACATATTTACCCAATGCTCATCAAAGCTTCCCCTTTCACATTGAAAGACTCTCCACTTACTGTCTTGTTAGCAGGTTGATTTGGCAATGTTTCAGGAGCCAGCATTCAGCAAGTCTAACAACTTTTTTTGATAATGTGTTAATCAACAAACATTTTATGCTTGCTGAATTAAGTGATCAATAAAAATATTAGGATTGGTGTATTTATAGAAGTTCTAACTGCAAATTTCTCTCCAAAATTATTTCTCATTTGCAGCCTTTGCCTGGGAGTTTATCAGTACCATGAGGTGATCATGGAGAGACACTATTGTAGGAGAGGAAGAGATCCCTTCTGCCCTGTTCCTACCCCTGTGGATGCTTTGACTGTGTCTAGGAACTAAATTAATATAAGAAAGATTAACAAGATAAAGGCATATATGTTTTATTAAAATTACATGTAAATGGGGAAGAGGTAAGTTCAAAGAAATGATGAAAGTATGATGCTTTATATTTTTTAAACAAAACACAATATGTTTGTGAAGGAATTACAGAACAATTGGGTGTGTGGACAAGGCAGTAGCTCTTAGGGATGGCCCTGGGAGGTGTATGCGGGGAAGCCATAAAAAGATAAGGGTTACGCCAATGAGTTTATTCACATGGGTTCATTACAACTCCAATGGCCAATATCTGGATCTTGACTATTTTCTCAAATGGGTTTATATGGGTTGATACCTTTCAGCCCCTAAATCTTTGTGACTTGCTGCAGATGGTCTGTTCTGAAGTTACAGTGCCCCAGGAGAGTTCAGCAGGAAATAATCAATGTACCAATTTGGCATATTTTGAGCTGGTATGACCTTGACTCCTAAAATATTATTGTGGAAGACTCCTACACACAGCAAGCATGATCCTGAGGCTAGAGTGAGGGAGAGAGGACATCTAGTCCAGGAGAGTCCCTTCCTGGGACTGAAAGGAGCAAATGGAAGAGAGGGGCCAGACAGAGAAGACAGCAATGTCCAGAATTTTCTTCTGCCTTTGGATGGGGTAAGTATAGATGAACTCAGGTATTTTGTAGACTCTGAAAATATAATACTTAATGAGCTGCTATCCAGAAGCCATGACCTTTAGCTTTTCTAATCCTCTCTAGTTTCTAGAGAATGCTGTTGAGTCCTAACAGTGACCAGTTCCCCAAGCTGACTTAGAATGAGTCTGGTTAATAAGAACCAGTGGGACTCACACCTTTGTCACAGGACATAGAGAAATCAAACCGGAGCTGGACTTGAAGCTTCCTTGCTCTGGCTCATCCTCATGGTGTTAAGAGGTGCCATGCAAGCTGCTTCAGGAGAAGAGACATCAACAGTCTTACTCAACTGTGGACCTTGCATGAAATAATACTGACTGGCCAGGCAAGATGAGCCCACTTGTTGCAATAGTGAAAAATCTGTTGTATGGGTAACCAACCACTTTCTCATTGAATTTGGTGCTTGTTGCACAGGAGCAAATTCACAACTGGTACAGTAAACCTGGTCAAAAGCGTGTGGCTGACAGGGTAGGAGTGATGGCTCAGCAGTTAAGACCACTGGCTTCTATTTCAAGGACCCAGGTCCAGTTCCCAGAACCCACATGGCAGCTAACAATCATTAGTAACTCTGGTTACAGGGCTCCAATGTCCTCTTCTGGCCTCTACAGGCATTGCATGCACAGGTGCACTAACATACATGTAGGCAAAAACACTCATACACATAAAATAAAAACAAATCATTAAAAAAAAAAACTCATTCAAAGAAGCTGTGACTGGGAACTCATAAAGCCCTAATAGGGAAGCTACTGTTGTGGTTTTGCTAAATGGGCATGATCTATCCACCAATTTGCCTTCTGAGTAATTATGTATATGCCCAAGGAATAGTGCTGCTGACAGTTCTGGTCCAAGAAGCTTCTCTTTGCAGTGGTCAGACTCACAACTGGTCAAAATGCTCAGAATAAGTGTCTGTTGAGTTCTCAGTCATAAATGGGCCATCTACAGCACCCTCTCTAAGGCTCAGGGAACATTGTGAAAGAAGGAACAGGAAAAAAAAAAAAAAAGAAAAGAGCCAGAGGACGTATGTGGTGGTGGTGAAGAATTCTGACATCTGGGTATGATATGGCTATGTATGCTTAAACTTAGAGAAGTTATGTTTACCTGCAAAAGATCTGCACAAGATTGGGCTCATAAATATGTCATGGAGGGGTACTTCATGGGGACCCCCACCCCCTGGAGGTTTATCAGCAGTTATTGGTTACTAGAGAAGGAAGAGACAAAGTTTCTTCAGTAGTGTAGCCACTACTAAGGTGTTCCACGCTCTTGTAAACAATCATAATGAAACTCATTGGGGCATCCAGAAAGAAAAAAAAGACATAAAAGTAGAAGGGGGTCTAGCTGGGAAGAAGAAGGGGATCAATGACTGTGGGAGGAGGACAAGAGAGGACAATGTGGGCATGGAATGTGATCAAAATACATTACATACAAGTATAAAAATGTCATAATGAAGTCCATTATCATGTACAATTAATATATGCCAATAAAACACTTTTTAAAAGGAAAAATAAGGTGTGGGTAATAGGCTGTGAAAGCAGGAGAACCTGAGTTCAACTCCCCAGCACCCACGTAAAAAGCTGGGCATGGCAGTGCATGTGTGGCTGAGAGGTGGACACTGGCAGATCCAGGGAGCTCACTGGCTAGCAAGCCTAGACAAAACAGTGAGCTTCAGGTTTAGTGAGAGACTTATCTCAAAAAATAAAGTGGAAGGCAACTCCTTTTCAAGTCCCCTCTCTGCCACAGGAAGTTATTTCTCCACTGCTCAATAAACCTTATGGTTGCCCTTCTTTGTTTCTACTTTTTTATTGTTTTTGTCCTTTGACAATTTCATATATGCATATAATGTATTCTGATTCTCTCTCCCCACCACTGTCTCTTAACATTTCTCCTATCTCTATCAACCCCTTCCCCAGAGTCATGACTTTTGGTTTTGTTCTGTGACCCATTTCGTTTAAACAAGGCCATCTGTGTGAGCTTTGGATTAGAACTCTCCATTAGAGCCTGGTGGGGTCATTAATGGGTTTGCAACCCAAGTCATGACTCCCCTTCTCCCTGAATCAATCAGTAGCAAATAGTTCAGCAGTGAGGGGTAGGCCCCCTGAGGCTGTCCTCCATCCATACCTGACTGTTGATGAACCCATTCTCTCCTAGACTCAGTGCAGGCATCCACAATCCTGTGAGTTTTTATTCTAATGGCCTTATCTTGACCAGAAGATTGCATTTCCCAGTCTTTCCCCTTATCTATGGACACTTTTTTGGCTCCTCTGTTGTGCAATGTCTCCTAAGCCTTAGGGTGTGTGGTATAAATATTGTGAGGGTGAGCACTTGTCTGTCACTTATTCTCAGTGCTTTGTACACCCACGAGTCTCTGCATTCACTACCATTCGCTAGAATAAGAGGCTTCTCTTATTAAGACTGAGAGCATTTTTATCTGAGTATAAACATACACTTTTAGAAGGTAGTTTGATGCTATGCCAATTTTGCTAAACAACAGTATTCAGTTCCCCTCTAGGGACATGATCTCCCCTGGCATGTGCTTTTTACCAGGCTTACAGCATCAAGCATGGGTTCACTCCTGTGGAGTGGGCCACAAACACAGAGAGTGGTTGATTATTCCCACAATGGTGGTGTTGCTATTGCACAAGTGGGCACAGCTTGCATGGCAGATTGGTATTGTAGTTCATAGGGTTCACGGCTGGATAAGACCACTGATGCCTTTTCTCCTTTAGAAGCCTGTGTATCACCTTCTGGGATCACGAAAGCTGTCCATCAGGGAGGAATCTTCGGGCTCAGTTCCAGCTGAACTTCTCTGTATCATGCGATCAAGCTGTGTCATGTCTTTAGCAATAGGGTCTTACCAGTTAGTCTAGTAGTTACTTTCTCTTGATTAAAAAAAGAAAATAAGGTGGACAGCTGTGGGGACCTAAAAGCCCAACCTTGCATAGGTCCGAAAGGAAGTTACTGGGGGTGCGGCCTGGCTTTCTTTGAAAGTCTGAAGAATACTTCCGCACTGCTGAGGAGTGAATGATTAGCGCATGACCATCCTTAAGATACACCCTGGGGACGGGGAGTTCCAGGTGCCTTTATAAGCTTTGTAACACCTGCAATAAATGAGTCTCTGCCTGACTAAGACTCCCCGTTGCGTCTGAGTGTCCCTGGGTAATGGGGGCAGCGTGGGCTGGTGAACGGCGTGCTTACTCATCCCCAATCCTCACCTCGCCGGGGGTCGCTGGTTCGAACCCCTGGCAGACAGCAATAGAATAAGACACCTAACATCCTCCTCCTCTGGCCTCTGCATGTGTACACATAGGTATGGCACCCCCCCAACACACATGCATGTACACTACACACATACACACACACACACACACACACACACACACGTGTGCACGCGAACACAAAGTAAGAAAAACCAATCAGCAGAATGGCTGGGGGTTGTATGTTATTGAGGAGCAAGGGTAGTACCACTTAACAACCAGGGGGCGAAACTATATATATATATTACATAGTCAGCTTCTGAACCAGTGAGCCGACTTGCAGCAAGTTTACAAGAGAGGGACAAGATCTAGCTAAATGAAGAAGCCAAGCAAGTTACAGTGGCAAGGGATAGATCAGCAGGGCACCAGTCGCCAAAGAAGACAGAGGATAGACTCAGGCCCCTTGACACTGCTGCCTTACCCTTATACACCCAGGAGCCACACTGGAGAACTCACAGGAATGAGAGAATAGAAGATCCAAATACTAAGCATTAAAGGAATTGTTTAAACTGTTGGGTAATCTCAGCACTTGGGAAGGGAGGCCAGAGGACCAGATATTCAATGTCATCTTTGGCTACATAGCAGGCTATATGAGATCCTATTTCAAAAACACAAAAAATAAGTAAACAAGTTAACTTACTATTAGAGTCAGGACTACTATTAAACCAACACTCTCCCCCATTTATAAAGTTAAAGACAAAATAAATAAGTTTTCTTTTCTTTATTGGTCTCACACAGTAAAAACTTTAAAATGAATTCCTAAGTTTTAAATAGTAAAGTACTATTAGGCTTAGCTGATCCGTTGCAGATATAAAGATCCTGAAAAAATATCACCATTCCCTCTAATAAAACAATAGAGGAAAGTGTGTGGAGGAATAAACAAAGTTATAACTTACAGTGGCCTAGAAGACTACTTATAAAATGAAAGAATTCTTTATCACACAGAGAATTCTCTGTGTTGGACTTTGTGCACGGATAATTCACACATAAACTAAGTGACTCCCTAATTTTCATTTTAAATATTCCCCAGTATTTTAAATGAAGGTAATTCTCATCAAAGTGTTACCTTTTCTTCAAAAAGCTTGCAGTTAAACAGGCGGGGGAAGAAAATATCACACTGATTTTTCTGCAAAAATAACAAAAAAGGGTAAGTCACAACTGAGCAGAGGTGTCCAGCCTTCAGACACTGCAAGACGATACTCATCTACAAATGTGTTCATAGCCATCTAGCACTCATGCCTACTACGGCATGCCTCCTTTTACTTCTTGTCTGAATACATTATGGGTGTCATGGAATCATCAATATTCAAATTATGGCATGCTATTTTTGAAAATTATTGCTGAATCTCACCAAAATGCTTTACAGTTGGTTTGTCCAGGCATCTGAATTCAAATAAATTCATCATTCTGAAAGCCAAAAATCTAGAATGCCAGAGAGTCAACTGTGAAGATCTGAAATCAGTACAGATGGAAGCTTTGTTAGCTGTTTGGATTCATTCCCACATCTCCCTTACTTAGAAAGGTACCTGGGGTGTACATTCTCACTGTATCTCTTATTTATATTAAATAAAATATTCATTACTGAGTACATCAATGACTGGTCCAACCAAGAGAGACTGAAAGAGAATTGTGGCCAAAATGTAAATCCCTTCACAACAAGGCCACCCCTTCTTTCTTGCAGCTAGGACAAAGTGATCAGCATTTCAGAAACATAAACGTAGCTACAATTCATCAAAGAATCACCTTTTTAGCCACTTTGTATTCATTACTGCTTCTTTTCACTGCTATCCATTTTTCTGCCAGGGACTGGTTAATTCGGCTTATTTCTGGTAGGATTTTATTGGAAACACTCGTGGAACTAGTATGCTTTAAGGAAGAAAATAAGAACAAGAATGAACAAGAAAATGTACACACATCTTGAATAATAATCAACAAAGCACCCAGCACACAAGGCCCTGCTCTCCGGCAGGCATTTGGTAGGTTGTACTTTGGTATCAGACTGGCCTGACCTTTCTGCTTCATAGCCTGGGCCATTTTGCTTGGTCCATATTTTTTAAAGTGAGATAACATAACAATATTGAAAATAGAGTCTCAAACCGATATTTGTAAATCAATATTCATTTCACCATTATTCACAATAGCCCCAAGGTGGAAATAACCCAAGTGCCTATCAACAAATGGATGTGTTTTTAATGTGATATGTAAAGTATGCAGTGAAATATTATTTAGCCCTAAAAACATTGATATTCAATTTTATTTTATTTTTTTTATTTTATGTGTATGAATGATTGCCTGCATGTAAGTGCACCCATGTTGTGCAATGCCCACGGATGTCAGAAAGGGTGTCTGATCCCCTTGAACTGGAGTTATGGATGGGTGTTAACTGCCCTATGGATGCTGGGAACCAGACCCGGGTCCTCTGCTCTTAACTGCTGAGCCATCTCTTCAGCCTCAAAGCAGTGATACTCTAATATAACAGATGAGTTCTGAAAATATACTAAGTGAAATAAACCATATTAAAATAGCAAACACTATATTCCACTTGGATAAACTATGATAACAAGTAAATTTATAGAAACAAAGTAGAAGTTATTTTGTTGAGGATATGGGGAAATGAGGAGTTATTTAATAGTTATCAGGTATCTGTTTTGGGTGATAAAAAGGTTTTAGAAGCCAGGCGTGGAGGCGCATACCTGTAGTCCCAGCACTTGGGAGGCAGAGGCAGGCGGATCTCTATGAGTTTAAGGCCAGCCTGGTCTACACAGTGAGTTCCAGGGCAGCTGGGGCTACAGGGAGACCCTGCTTCAAAAAGGCAAATAAAAAGGTTTTAGAGAAAGTGATTAATCATCACTAGTTGCATGGCATTGTGAATGCAATTAACGTCACAGAATAGTGCACAAAAAATGTTTGAAATGCAAATTTCATGTTACATATAACATGCACATTATATGTAATTTGATACATACTCTCACTGTATAGCCCAGACTGGCCTAGAACTTGCCATTCTCCTACCTCAGCTTCCTGAATACTGGGTTCTTGGAGTGTTTTATATAGATATATTTATTTAGTTAGTTTTTTTATTTTATGTGTATGAGTATTATGCCTGTATGTATGTAAGTACACTGTGTTGTACAGTGCCCACAGAAGTCAGAAGAGGGCATTAGATCTCCTGGAACTGGAGCTATGGACAGTTGTTAGCTGCCATTGGGGGCTGGGATTTGAACCCAGGTCTTCTGCAAGAACAGCCAGTGCTCTTAACCACTATATATATATAAACAATAAGAAAATGGGCTGGACATAGTGGCACAGACCTATAATCCCAGTCTAAAAATCTCAATTTCCAGGCCAGACTGGAGTACGTAGTGAGAGCGTGTCAGAAAGAAGGAAGGGAAAGAGGGAGGGGGAATATTAGTGCTTTGCTCTGAAGTATACCTACATCTCCGCTGAACTGGTTAGTGACAAAATTCTACATCACTTTTGGTTAAGGATCAAATAAAGTCCTCTTGGGAAAAGATACATAACTATGCATGATTCTTCAAGTCCCCTTCTCCCTTTTATTCTGCTGGTGATGGGGTCTGACCTAGGGCCTTGCACATGCCAAACAAAGGCTCTATCACTGAGCCACACTTCTAGCACCTCCCTGAGCACCCTGATCTGAGTCCTGGGCAACTCTGCAGTTTATCAAGGGCAAGATTTTTCTCTTCCATCCCAGGGATCTGAGGACAATGAGATGCTCCCTATTGGCGCTTTCACATCATTCAAACCCCCAGCTCCTCAGAGCACAGGACTATAGACTATATCACCTGTCCTAGATGATGCCATCTTTGAGACCTTGAGCACTTTACTGCCTGCTCACCCACTACTGTTCCTGTCATCATGCTTCCTGTCCCCATTCTTCATAACTTTAAAATAAATGAAAGAAAGGCCAGGCATGGTGGTACACGCCTTTAATCCTAGCCTTTGGGAGGCAGAGGCAGGCGGATCTTTGAGTTCGAGGCCAGCCTGTTCTACATAGTGAGTTCCAGGACAGCTGAGGCTACGGGGAGACCCTGTCTCAAAAAGACTAAATAAATAATAAATAAATAAATAGATAAATAAATAGATAAATAAATAAATAAATAAATGAAAGCTGTCTTCTTTAACACTTCAGTTCCTCATCTTACCTCCACTCTTTCTCTTTGCCTTAGCCACCCACACCCTGGATAATGTCTCCAAACTGAAATGATTGACATTTGGGAGCAGATATTCTTAGTTGTGAGGGGGTCCTGCACGTAGTAGGATGTTTAGTACTGTTCTTAGCCCCTGACCATTAGATGCCAGTATCAGCCACTGTCAACATGCTAACCTAAAATATCTGTAGACATTGCCAAGTGATTCCTAGACCACCCTCACTTGCAAACTTCACTTGCATCTAGGGCATAAGCTGGACTTTATAATCAACAACTGCTCCATTTTTAAAAATGTCTATCAGAAGCATTTTATCACATACTATCTCATCTCCTTAATTTGTTTCCTTGAGAGTGAACCCTGCCCCCAGTGCAGCATTCTTTGACGTTTTCAGACTCCCTTGACCCTATGGTTTGTTCACTGTCCACCGCCTTCCACTTCTTCAACAGCTCAGCTGCTGCTTCCCCACTCTAATCGCTCCTACGACTCCCTTACTGCACAGCAAAATTCCATTTGTAGTTAAACTTAAAGACTGGTAACTCCAAAATTGGACCCAAATACCTAACACCACCAAGGACAACAGCACTGCCATGCTGTCCAGCCACACTGTGTCTGTCACCACAGATTCCAGACAGACATTTCCATGCACAGCTGCTTTCTCACTCTCGAGACAACTAAACACCTTCCTTTGTCTCCTGACTCACACACCTCTCAGGTTCAGCCTTGTTCACCAGGCAAGAACCAATCACCAAGCCACCCTCATCTGTACTGTTCGGTGTCACAATGGCACACATCTCCACTCAGCCCTCTCAGTTCTGCACTGGACTCTGCTTCCTGTCTTTGGCTCTGGGACTTCTGTCACAGCACATTCCCTACCTACACTCTTTTATTCCCCTTCAGGTCAAGTTGTCAGAGTCCTTGTTTCCACTTCCCTCTCCTCCCACTTTGTCGATCCCCTCCCAGGCAGGGCTCACTGGTGATTGCTTTTTGTTTTTTGAGATGGGCTTTCCCTGCAGCCCCAGATGGCCTGGAACTCACTTTGTAGACCAGGTTAGCCTCAGTCTCACAAGGCTCTGCCTCCCAAGTGCTGAGGTTAAAGGCATGGACCATCATGTGTGGCCTATGGCTCTCTGTGGAAACAACACACTTCCTTTCCAAAGCAAAAATAAACTGTGTTCCTCCTACTTGACTTTTGTTTGACCTTGCAAGCACTTCAGTCTAAAAATCCTTTCTTCACCAGATAATCCGCATCTCTGTTTCCACTCCAAAAGCCATTCTTTTAAGTCTTATTTGGCTCCTCCTCTGTGGTCTGACCTTTAACTTCCCCACAGCTTGACTCCTCTCCCCTGTCTCAGGAATCTTTTCTCATTCTTTTCTCTTAGGCCTCCTCTCCTCCCACTCTCCTCACCACCCTCCACCTCATCACCCCTTCATCCCTCTTTACCCCCGAAGCTTCCCCAACCTCCCCATCCCCAATCTGTCTCATCTTGCTTCAGGGTGCTCTGAGTGCTAACCCTCCTGAAGCAGCATCCTGTGAGGCTGACTTCTGAGGGACAAAATCCCTGACAAGTGGACCAGGCCACTGATAAGTAACAGAGATGGCAAACTTCCTGCATCGCCCACCTGAGACAAAGGCCTGAAAGCCTTTTCTCCTACAGACAGAGCAGGGACTGGACATACCTCAACTTGAAGCCAGGGCATATTGGCTCTCTCTTCTTTGTTTAAGTTGACCAATCCAAAATTAGGGGAGGAGAACCTGCTCTGTACCAAAAACACTTAAAAGGCCCAAGTCCAGAGGAAGACTTTGGATTTTTTTGGCTTCTAAATCCCCTTTCCATTTGTAGAGAGTCTATGTGTGCGTGCATGCATGCATGCGTGTGTGTGTGTGTGTATGTGTGTGTGTGTGCGTGTGTGTGGAATGCCTCAGGAAAAGGGCATGGCATGATGAAATGGACAAATCTCAGACTAAGGGGATGGGCAGATCTGTATGTACTTGAATCTTCTTCTCTACAGCTGTTGACTCCAGGCAGGTAATTTTACCTCTCTGCCTTTCCTTTCCTCCAATTTTTTTTTTAAGTATGCTATTAATTTTTTCTTTTTTTTGGTGTTTTTGAGACAGGGTCTTCTTGTAGCCCCAGCTGGCCTGGAACGTACTATGTAGACCAGGCTGGCCTTAAACTCACAGAGATCCACCTGCCTCTGCCTCCCGAGTGCTGGGATTAAAGGCATGCACCACCATGCCTGACAGGTTTCTTTACTTTTAATAAAGCTTGTTACTGGTTTTCTGCTATGTCTGAGGCCTTTCCTACCTTTTATTTCTTTTTAAAACTTTATCTATTTGTTTGTATTTTATTTTACCTGTATAAGTATCTTGCCTGCATGTATGTAAGTGCATCATGTGCATGCAATGCCTGGAGAGGCCATAAGAGGGCATTGGATCCCCTGGCTCTGGAGTTACAGATGGTTTTTAACTGCAGTGTGGGTGCTGGAAACCGAATCCTGGTCATATGCTAGAGCAGCAAGTGCTCTGAATTGATGAATGATCTCGCCAGCCCCTGTGCCTTTCATTCTTTAACTGGCAGAGGGAAAAGAAAAATCCTATCAAGACTCCTAGACTGTAACACTTTTCTCCCGCAGGTTGGCAGTAGACTACATTCCATGTGTGGCTCAGACCCTGGCAGGTTATGACATTCTGAGTGCCTCACATGCATGAGCTAGGAAGCGGGTCTTTGTATAGGTGGTTCTTCTTTATCTCTTCTTCCCTCCTGGAGAAGGGTGAAGGAAATCTATGAGACAGTTTAGGGGGCCCTTACTGCCAGAGTTTCTGTGGTCTTTCACCCAGACTCTCGGCTTTAAATACCACCTACGACTTCATAACTTCTGTGTTTACTGTAACTCTACTGCTGACATTCTACTTGAGCTCGAGAGAGGGATAGTTAAGTAAGTTGCCTGGACCTCCCAAGGATATGTCAAACTACTTCATCTCCAAGAACTCTTCATCCTTTCTTGCTATGCTCTGCCTCACTGGTCTTTCTGGCACATGTACCTTACTGGTTCATGCCCCAGGACTTTTCTATGGCAAAGTACTTCAGTACTTTTATCATACTAGCCATTACTCTCTTTGACTCATTTTTTTTCATCTGTAAAATGGGGAAAATATTGTTAATTGAAGCTGATAGGAACATTAAACAAGTTGATCCATTTAAAAGTCTTTGATTGGTGCTTGATTCACAATAACTGCAATTAATATTAGTCATTACCATTATCATTTCAAAAACTATCACTACCAATAATTTATGAATACAAAGGCAATAAATTTGAGTTTAGGAGTCACACCTGTTAGGAAGTTTGATAAATAAGGTAGTGAGACATATATTTTATAAAAAGCACTGTAATAGAGGATCATATTATTTTAGTAAGAAATCTTAATACATATGAATGAAACGATGTCTCAAATACTTCTCTAAAATTTAGGGGAAGAAGAGGATATAGTTCTGTAGTAGAATCAGCTCGCCTGGTTCTGAGTTTGATTTGTAGCCCCAGAAGAATAAATAATTCCTGAAATCTAGAGTGAAAAATAATGTTTTAAAGAAACAGTATATACTAGATACCTCATGAGTTGTCACAAAGTTGGCATATGTTCCAGCAAAAATGTGTTTTACTTGAATATCCATAAGATCTAAAAGAAAATCAGAAATCCATGTCTAGAATTTTTATCAGTAAAAATAATTCTGATGTATAACTAAGTCATGAATACAGATATCACAAAAATTAATTGTGACCAGATCAAATGTCATTTTTTACTCAGTTAAAGTTGTAGCTGTCCAGGCACTTACATAATGAATCTGGACTGACATGTTTTAAAAGTTTGACTATATAAAAGCATATTGTCATGATAATCAAATAACCCATTTGGAATCTTCTATTGTGCTACTTTAGTCTTTAGAAATGATTACCAGTTACTCCGGGAATCACTGTATAGGAAAAAAAAATGAGAATTTAAAATAAAATATCAAGTACTCTAGTTCTAGGGGCTCCTTCGAAGGGAAGATAAATAATGTCTCCTTCAGTGGCGTTAATCACGAACTTGTAGAAGCATTCCTACCCTTGGCAGGTATCAGGCAGGTAATGTTGGGCTTCTCTCTCCAGGCCTCCTGATGAGTTGGGTTGCTGGTATCACTTGGTCCACTACCAAAAGACACCACCTGACCAGTGGTGTAGACATACGCAATGGTGTGATAACTACAACACACAATACGAGAACATAACATAACGAAGAACCAGGCAATCATGGGCTCAAGACAAAATGACAGATTTACTTTCAGTACCTACCCAGCTGCTTCATCACAAAGTCCATGTTGCAGGGTACTAGGTTACCTGATTAAACAAGTGCTGTTCACTTATTAGCAATACTAAAGATAGTATTAGTGAGAGGTCTTTACTATGCTTCCTATCATGTATCTATTTGCGGTTTTGTTGCTGTTGGTTGTTTGTTTTGAGACAGGATCTCATGTAGTCCAGGCTTGCTTCCATCTTGTTATGGAGCAAAGAATAATCTTGAACTTCTGATCCTTCTGTCCCCACCTCCCTAGTGCTGAGATTAGAGGCATGGCCTACCACTGCCATCACACCTGCACCACACTCAGTGTATGTGGTGCTAGGGATCTAACCTAGGACCTGGTGCATGCACGGCAAGCACTCTACCAATTGAGCTACATATCATGTGTTTTATTAATTTATTCTTAAGCTTTTAAACATAGCAAAGAATTAGGTTGCATCATGGAATTTTCAAACATTTATTTTTGCTGCTACTCCTTCCAGCCTTTGCCCACGTCCCGCTGCCCCACCTTGCACCCTTCCACCCCAGTAGCTTCCTTTCTGCTTTCATGTGGCATGTGTCCTATTGCTTCCTCAACACCTCTTTTCCCCTCTTGTCCCCTCTGTAGTTTCATGACCTGTACCTGCTCTGTGACCCACGTGTGTACCATATAGATAAGCATTAAAGCTAAGATCTGCATGAGAGAGAGAACATGCATTTGTCTTTGTGACTCTGGGTCACCTTGCTTAATATAATAATTTCCAGATCCATTAATTTTCCTGAAAATTTCATAATTCCATTTATCCTGACAACTGAAAAAAAACCCATTGTGTTATATGTACCACATTTTCATTGTCCATCTGCCAATGGACGTCTAGGCTGATTCCATTTCCTTGCTATTGTGGAGAGTGTAGGAATAACATGAATGGACAAGTATCTCCATGGTAAGATATTCAGTCCTTTGGATAGATGTTCCGGTGATATAGTTGGGTCATATGGTACTTCAATCTTTAAAATTTTTTTATTTATTATTTTCATTTTATGTGTATGCGCATATTGCCTGCATGTAGGTAAGTGCACCCATGTCGTGCAATGCCTGCGAGGACAGAAGAGGCCATCGGATCCCCTGGAACTGGAGTTACAGACAGTTGTTAGCTGCCATGCGGGTGCTGGGATTTGAACCCAGGTCTTCTGCAAGAACAGTCAGTGTTCTTAAACGCTGAGCCATCTCTCCAGCCCCCAGTACTTCAATTTTTTGAGAAATCTCTATGCTGATCTCCATAATGACCTCACCAGTTCACACTCCCACCAGCAGTGAATAAGGTTCCTCTTTTCTCACAACCTCAAGCATTCCTTGACATTTGTTTCTTTCTTTCGTTTGTTTGTTTGGTTTGATTTGGTCTTTGTTTTTGTTTTTAAAAGAATTAAATTATTTATTGATTATATAAGCCTCATTCCCACTTATTATTTTTCTGGTACCATTATTCAATGTAGATATTGCATCAGCTGTGCCAGCAACCTTTTTTATAACCAAATATTTCTGTGATGTTGGTTGGTGACTCTTTGACTGGTGAAACTCATTAAAGGTCACAACAGTGACTGGCAGTTTAACTACTCCAAGGTTTTTTAAAGACAAAAGCCTCCCCAAGCAGTTATAAATACATTTCAAATGGAACCTGGCATCACCCTGACAAAATTCTAACTTCACACTGTTGGGGAAGTTTGCCAAGGTGACTTCAGAGTGTCCTAACTTTACACAGCACATTTATTAAAAAAAATAAAAGCACATTTATTCAGTGTCATGATCAGACTGTTAAATTTAGCAACCAACAGCATGGGTGAAAAAAAACTACATTAAAACCCTCTGTTGGAATGCTTTACACTTTCCAAGGAAAAAAAATTATAATAATCTGTCATACAGTTAGTCACAAATAGTCTCAGAGTCCCCCACACACGAGTACTGTCTAAAATATGACTACTTTGTAGCAGGTGGGTCCTGACACCACTATGCTTTGTTCTACATAAAAAAAATTATCTCTTTTTAAAATTTATTTTTATTTATTTACTTATTTATTATTTATTTATTTATTTGGTCTTTTTGAGCAAGGTCTCCCTGTAGCCCCAGCTCACTATGTAGACCAGGCTGGCCTTGAACTCACAGAGATCCGCCTGCCTCTGCCTCCTGAGTGCTGGATGTAAAGGCGTGAGCCACCATGCCCGGCCCTAAAATTTATTTTCATTTTATGTGTGAGTGTTATGCCTGCATGTATGTAAATTCACCTGTGTCATGTAATGCTCATGAAGGACAGAAGAGGGCACCAGAGCCCCTGAAACTGGAGTTATGGATGGTTGTTAGCTGCTATGGGTGCTGGGATTCGAACCTGGGTCTTCTGCGAGAACAGCCAGTGCTCTTAACCACTGAGCCATCTCTCCAGCCCCTCATTCTGCTTCTTGATGAGAGCCATTCTAACTCAGGTGAGATGGATCTCAAAGTAGTTTTAATTTGCAATTCCCTGAAAGCTATGAATGTTGAATACTTCTATGGTGATTGATCATTTGTGCTTCTTCCTTCGAGAACTGTCTGCTAAGTACATCTGTCTCTATATTGGCAGTGTTTGGGGTATCAAATTTTTGCAGTTCTTTATATATTGAATATATATATAAACATTGACTCTATCTAAAGTAGAGATTTTCTCCCATCGTATAGTCTCTGTTCACACTGCTAATAGCTTCTTTTCTTTGCAGAATCTTTTTAATTTCATATAATTAAATTTGAAATTAATCCTTGGGGCTGTTCATAGATATTGAAGTCCTGTCTGAAAGTTCTTGCCTGTATCTTTTTCCTGTTTTCCTCTACCAGCTTCAGTGTTTCAAGTTTTAAATTAAGGTCTTTAATCCACTTTGAATCTTTGAAATTTTTTTCTTGTGTTCTGTGCATGTAAATATGCATGCTCACATGTGCGCGGGCAAATGCGCCTATGGGGGCTGTAGGCTGATGAGAATCTTCCTCCATCACTCTTCCTCCGCATTCACAGAGGCAGAGTCTAGAATCCAGAGCTTGTTGTTAGGGCTTGTGTCACTAGTCATTTGCTCTGAGGATGTCCTGTCTCCATCTTCCAAGGCTGGAATTACAGCAGGCTGCCAGGCCTACCTGGCATTTACATGGGTTCTGGGAATCTGACTCTGGTCTTCAAGTGTGGGCAGCAAGCACTTTAATCACTGAACCATCTCTCCAGATCAACTTGGAACTGATTTTTGTTCAGGGTGAGAGATAAGGATCTAACTTCGGTCTTATGCAGGTGAATACCCAGTTTTTTCAGCAACATTTCTTAATAGGCAATCGTTTTCCCAATCAAGCATTAGGTGACCATATCTGTGTGGGTTTATTTCTGGGTCCTGTATTCTGTTCCATGTGTTCTAAATGAAAGTGCTTTATCTATGACTTTTTAATGCATTAAGTTAGAAACACAAATACTATAAATGTCCTCAGAATTAGATTATATAAAGCCTTGATCACAGTTGCAAATGAACATGAAGTGCTATATGTATGTGTGAGATTAATTTGTCTTACCAAAAGACTTACTTAAGAAGGCATTTTTGTCATTTTGTTATGCCTTACTGAAGCAGGCATTTCTGTTATTTAACCCTTTCCCACCCTATAGTCATAAAATGGTGGTCTATATACAATTAATTTCTAATTGTTAATAGCGATGAAAACAAAAATTACAATATTTTGAAAGGAGCAAATTTTCAGCAAAAATGCTCTATTAAAAGAGCAGCCACTTATTTTGGAGTTTCTAAATAATAAAATATAATACTTTCTAGTCAAACTTTTTAAAAAAGACTTGCTACCTTCCACAGTCTATCTGGGAAATGAAGCCATCAACTCCTTCCACGTGCTGAGGGCCTCTTTCCTTGCCACTGGTGCTATGTCCCAGCTGTCCAGAACTATTGTCTCCAAATGTGAGCAGTTGCCCATCCTGTTTAAAACAAGGAATCAGTTTGATTTCATGTTACAAAAATAATCAGAGGCTGTATATTAAATATCATAAGACTTCCATATAAAAGCAACATGTGAAATTCGTTAGCATATTATGCTGGATAGTTTTAGTTTCAACTTGACACACCTGGGTTGAGGGAGCCTCAATTGAGGAATTTCCCCATTGGACTGCCCTGTGATCATGTCTGTGAGGCATCATCTTGATTACTGAGTGATGTGGGAGGGCCCAGCCCACTGTGGGTGGTGCTACCCCTGGGCAGGTGGGCCTGTGTTGCATAAGAAAGCAGGCTGAGTAGAGGCCAGGGGAGCAAACCGGTAAGCAATGTTCCTCCATGGCCTGTGCTCCAGCTCCTGCTTCCAGGTTCTTGCCCAGAGTTCCTACCTTGGGCTCCCAGATGAACTGTGACCTGGGAGATATAAGACAAATTAACCCTTTCCTCCCCAAGTTGGTATTGGGCAGAGTATTTTGTTACAGCAATGGAGAAACAAACCAGAACACATATAAACTGATGGGTTGCTTTATTACTTATCTTGATTGTAGAGTTAACATACTAAATGTGAAAAATCATTGGAATTTCCTTAAACACTAGGCACTTTGGAGATGTATAACAATGGTGGCTATAGTTAAGATGTAGTAGTACACACTTAAAATTGCTAAGTGCTGGAGAGCTGACTCAGTGGTTAAGAGCATACACTGTCATTGCAGAAGACCAGAATTTGAGTCCCAGCACCAACATCAGTGGCTCTCAACCACCTTTAACTCTAGCTCCAGGGCACAGGAAGCCTCTGGCCTCCTTGGTCTCTGGCACTCAGGTATACATGCATAGATACATGCACGCATGTATGTAATTAAAAATAACAAAACAGAGAAGGCGTCCTGAGTTCGAGTGGCTACGGCTGATGTGGCAGCTCAGTATGATGGATCAAGCCAGATCTTCATTCTCTAACTTGTTTGGTGGACAACCATTGTCATATACGTGGTTTAGCCTGGCTCGACAAGTAGATGGTGAGAACAGTCATGTGGAAATGAAACTAGCTGTAGATGAAGAAGAAAATGCTGACAGTAACATGAGGGCCAATGCCAAAAAACCAAAAAGGTTTAATGGAAGAATCTGCTATGAGACTATTGCTGTAATCATCTTTTTCTTGACTGGATTTATGATCGGCTACCTGGGCTATTGTAAATGTGTAGAACAAAAAGAAGAGTGTGAAAGACTGACAGGAATGGAAGCAGACAAGTCAGAAAACTTGCAGACAGGAGAATCTGACTTTTCTAGACTACCTTCTCACTTATATTGGACAGACCTCAAAGCAGTGTTGTCAGAGAAACTGAATGAAATAGACTTCACTAGCACCATCAAACAACTGAACCAGAATACTTATGTCCCTCGTGAAGCTGGATCTCAAAAAGATGAAAATCTTGCCTATTTTATTGAAAATCAATTCAATGCATTTAAACTCAGCAAAGTCTGGTGTGATGAACATTATGTTAAGATTCAAGTCAAAGGAAGCACTGCTCAAAACTTGGTGACTATATCGAATACAAAAGGGGCCACGGTTTACCTGGTGGAGAATCCTGAGGGTTAGGTGGCATATAGAAAAGCTGCAGAAGTTACAGGCAAACTGATCCATGCTAATTTTGGCACCAAAAAAGACTTTGAAGACTTAAGCATTCCTATGAATGGATCTTTAGTGATTGTTAGAGCAGGAAAAATCCTTATTGCAGAAAAGGTTGCAAATACTCAAAGCTTTAATGCAATTGGAGTCTTGATATACCTGGACCAGGCCAAATTCCCCATTACTAAGGCAGACCTTTCATTCTTTGGACATGCTCATCTAGGAACCAGTGACCCTTATATACCTGGATTCCCTTTGTTCAATCATACTCAGTTTCCACCATTGCAGTCATCAGGATTATAATATACATATCCAAACAATTTCCAGAAAGGCTGCAGAAACACTATTCGAAAACATGGTAGGAGAGTGCCCTAGTAGCTGGAACACAGACTCTTTGTGTAGGCTTCAATCCACAGAGAATGGAAATGTGAAGCTTGCTGTGAATAATGTGCTAAAAGAGATAAGAATACTTAACATATTTAGAGTTATTAAAGGCTTTGAGGAACCAGACCACTATATTGTAGTAGGAGCCCAGAGAGATTCTTGGGGTCCTGGAGCTGTGAAATCTAGTGTGGGAACAGGTCTTCTGTTGGAACTTGCCTCAACAGTCTCAGATATGGTCTTGAAAGGTGGGTTTAGACCCAGTAGAAGCATTATCTTTGCAGCTGGAATGCAGGAGATTTTGGAGCTGTTGGTGCCACTGAGTGGCTAGAGGGATGCCTGACCTCTTTGCATTTAAAAGCTTTCACTTACATTAATCTGGATAAAGTTGTTCTTGGTACCAGCAACTTCAAGGTTTCTGCTAGCCCACTATTATATACATTTATTGAGAAGACAATGGAAGATGTGAAGCACCCACTTGATGGGCAGCCTCTATATGGGGACAGCAACTGGAACAACAAAGTTGAGAGACTTTCTCTTGATGGTGCCGCTTTCCCTTTTCTTGCATGTTCTGGAATTCCAGCTGTTTCTTTCTGTTTTTTTGTGAGGACTCGGATTATCTTTACTTGAGCACTACCTTGGATACCTATGACATATTGATTCAGAAAATTCTGCAGCTGAACAAAATGGTACAAGCAGCAGCAGAAGTGGCTGGTCAGTTCATTATTAAACTTACCCATGATGTTGAACTGAACCTGGACTATGACATGTGTAACAACAAAATACTATCATTTGTGAAGGATCTGAACCAATTCAGAGCAGATATAAAGGAGATGGGCCTGAGTCTACAGTGGTTATATTCTGCCCGTGGAGATTTCTTCCGTGCTACATCCAGACTAACAACTGATTTCCATAATGCTGAGAAAATAAGCAGATTTGTCATGAGGGAAATCAATGGCAGTACTATGAAAAAGACCCAGGTTCAAATCCCAGCATCCACATGGCAGCTAACAACTGTCCGTAACTCCAGTGCCAGGGGATCCGACAGCCTCTTCTGACCTCTGAGGGCATTGCATGACACAGGTGTACTTACATACATGCAGGCAATACACACATATACATAAAAATAAAATAAAATAGGGCTGGAGAGGTGGCTCAGCAGTTAAGAACACTGGTTGTTCTTGCAGAAGACCCAGGTTCATATCCCAGCACCCACATGGCAGCTAACAACTGTCTGTAACTCCAGTTCCAGGGGATCCGATGGCTTCTTCTGTCCTCTGAGGGCATTGCACGACATGGGTGCACTTACCTACATGCAGGCAATATACTCATACACATAAAAAAATGATAAATAATAAATAAAATAAAAAATAAAAATAAAAAGTATGTAACAAAAAAATAACAAAACAAATATTTAAAAACAAAATAAAAATTACTGAGTGTGTACCTTAAAGAGTCTAACACACACACACACACACAACACACACAAAGATCACTGTCAATAAATCATGTTGTATACCAGGTATAGCTATAGTTTTGTGAATTATATTCCAATAAGGCTAGAAAAAAAGAATTAGACACTTAGTGCATGTGTGTTGAATGAATCAATGCAAATTAACTGGTTGAGGACTAACACCAATGTTTAAGTATAAGGTTGGTTATTTTATTTACTTGAGCACTTTCCTGAAAATATTTTCAAAAGATGATTTTTTTTATTAAAAACAACTCTAGGGGATGGAGAGATAGCTCAGTTAATAAAGTACTGGTCATACAAGCCTGAGGGCTTGGACTTGATCCCTTTCATCCACATGAAAAAGTCAGAAGCTGTGGTGTGTCCTTGCAATCCCAGTGTCAGGGAAATGGAAACAGGAGGATCCCCCAGGGTTCCCTGGTCTGTTGGCCTAGTTGAATCAATAAGCCCCAGGCCAATGAGAGACCTTGTCTCAAAAAGGGTGGATGTCTCCTGAGCTGCAGTTCCACAAGGTTGTCCTCATGTATACATACACAAGTTTCTTTTGTCAACTAAGATTAATAGAATTCAAACAATTTAGATTTCCAAATTTAAGACATGGTTTTTAAAACTAATGAAAGACACTTGGTGAACTGGGAATGGAGGTCAGTAGCAGAGCACTTGTCTGATAGTCATAAGGTCTTGGGTTTGAGCCCGATACTGCAAACAATAATAGTAATCATAATACAATTTAAAAAAATCATTTGATTGCCTGGCGTGGTGGGGCATGCCTTTAATCCCAGCACATGGGAGGCAGAGGCAGGCAGATCTCTGTGAGTTTGAGGCCAGCCTGGTCTACATAGTAAGTTCCAGGTCAGCTGGGGCTACAGGGAGACCCTGTCTCAAAAAGACCAAAAAAAAAAAAAAAAAAAAAAATCATTTGGTGTATATACTTTTTTCCTGGGACAGGGAGTCAAATACAACACCTAGGTAAGCATTCTACCAATGAACTATACTCCCTGGTCCTGGTGAATACAGTTTTAAAAATATATATATTTTATTTATTATTTTTATGTGTATGCATGTATTGCCTGCAACGCCCATGGAGGACAGAAGAGGCTGTTGGATACCCTGGAACTGGAATTACAGACAATTGTTAGCTGCCATGTGGGTTCTGGGATTCGAACCTGGGTCTTCTGCAAGAATATTCAGGGTTCTTAGCCGCTGAGCCATCTCTCCAGCCCCCATCGAATATAGTTTTTATATGAACATTTCAACTATACAAATAGTTTTCAAGTCTGTTCCCTACAGCAATGGAAAGAATCCATCTGACTGGGATATAGTGAATGGTCAGGAAGAACCAAAGGAAATGGAACAAAGAATGTTCTAGTCTGTAAAGTGGGGTATTGAAAACTATAAAAATTACTTTGTAGCTTCCATTATGATTTTTATTTGTAGAACTACATTGCCAATGAAAAATTATCAAAAATATTAGCTCCTACATTCCCTTTTTGTTTGTTTGGTTTTGGTTTTTTTGACTTTTTTGAGACAAGGTCTCCTTGTAGCCCCAGGTGGCCTGGAGCTCACTATGTAAACCAGGCTGGCCTTAAACTCCCAGAGATCCACTTGCCTCTGCCTTCTGGGTGCTGGGACCAAAGGCGTGCGCCACTGCGCCCAGCCCTATATTTGCTTTTATTACAGTATCTTGAAAAGGCTCATGATTTGTATTTAGTTAACATCTCTATTTTAGATATTTATACATTAAATTGGTGTGTTTAGTTACTTATATAGATCTTGTGTTATATCTGAACATTTGTGTCCTTTTAAAATTTGTATATTAAAATCCTAACCTCCAATATAATGATATTAAGAGGTGGGATGGGGCCTTTGATATATGATTTGGTCATGAGGGTCAAACCCTCCTGAATGGGATTAGTGCCCTTACAAAAGAGGACCACAGACATACCCCCCTTACCCCTTCCACCACGTGAAGACAAAGCAAAATCACTGTCATCTATGAGCCAGAAAGTTGCCATCACTAGATGCAAATCTACTGGTACCTTGACCTTGGGCTCTCCAGCTTCTAGAGCAGTGAGACGTAAATATTTCTGATGTTTGTAAGCTGCCTAGTCTACGTATTTTGTTCCAGCAGCCTGGACAGGCTAAGCTCTCTTACTTTCAATAATAATCAACACATCTTGTTAACATTTCTCAGGGATTTAAAAACCAGCAACACCTTCTGAATTACCTGGGTTAGCACTGCCGTGTGCTGATAGCCACAGCTAATGTAAACCACGCCAAGATTCTTCAGCGCTCCGATTGAACGAGGCTTGTGGATTTGCACTGCTGAAAGAAAGCAGACTTGCTAGCATATAGGGAAAAAAAGGACTCAGAGGCAGGAGTGTGAGTTTGAGGTCAACCTGAGCTACGTAGTGAAACTGCCAAGAAAAGAAAAGGGAGAGAGAGACAGAGAGAGCAGAGAAACAGTCTCGGAATTTCCTGTTTTTAGATTTTTATACTTTTTATACCCTCTACATTTTGTCTTGTAACCTATTAACATAATTTTAAAAAGTGAACAAAGTATGAAACAGGAAAAACTACTTTGAGAAAAAAATACCCTAACATTTATTTCTGGAAATCTTTAACCTTCTCAAATATTAAAGGTATTGACCTAGAGTATTAAACTTCAGTAGTAAACTCCCAATAGTCTTGCCATCATTTGGTAGTTCTTTCTGATGCTTAGTAGTGTCTGAAGATATATAATAATGACATAGAGAATAAGAGTATCTACCTCATGTTGAGAGGGATGAGAGGTGCTCGCACGTGTAGGTGCTAAAGGTATTAGTCAAGTGCAAAGAACTGAGAGAGGGGGTGCTCTTGGAGACGTCTTAATGAATTTTATTTTTAGAGGAAAATTTGTTTCGCAGATTTTTTTTCTTTTATTATTATTATTATTATTGGTCTTTTTTGAAACAGGGCCTCCCTGTGGCCACAGCTGTTCTGTAACTCACCATGTAGATCAAGCTGGCCTCGATCTCACAGAGATCTGACTACCTCTGCCTCCCAAGTGCTGGGATTAAAGACATTTGCCACCACGCCCGCTTTCTTTTCTTTTTTCTTTTCTATAGGAGCTGGTCATTTCCTCTAACATGAGCAGTCTTCCAATCAGTGGTGCCTAAAGCTTTCACATTAGAGCTACACAGGGATCTGAAGCCCAACTGCTGCTAACATTCTGATTTAATGTGTGTGGAGCTCAACCTGGGCATCAAGAGTTCTAAAGGAATCCTACGGTAGACAAACATGGTCTCCACTCCCCAATCCCAGGCCTTGTAAATATGATAGGTTACTTGAAGGTAAGGAAGAGAAGATAAGGAAGTCCACTGAGTTAAAACTGCTAATCAGCTGTCCTTAAAATAGGGACATTAGCTTGGATTATCCAGGTGGCCCAAAGTTATTCTTTTCGCTGAAGAAGATGGAGGCCAAAGAGTTAGTGTCAGAACAACATGACTTAAGAAAGACTTAACCAGCCACTACAGGTTTTGAAGAAAGAAGGCTGAGCCTGTTAACACTGGGGTTCTCTAGAGCTGGAATGGAGGAATGACTTTGACAATGTGAACATAATCTGGCCTAAAGACTTTTACTTAACCTTGTAACCAAAAGTTACTGTTTATAATGTTCACGAGCTCACTGAGTCATATGTGCTTATGACCCGGGCAAATTACCTTCATCTCCCAGGACCCCACTTTGCCCTCCATTCAGGATAGTGACTGAATGTGGGAGCACCTGAAATCAAAGCATTGAAACCAGAGTGTTCTCACTGAAAACAGTCAGAAGAACTGAGACGTTGTCTTTAACTTTGTTATGATTTTTAGGTCTAGGGATTAAAGGGCAAGATTCTCAGATAAGGGTGGATCCTGGCTTCTTTTTCCCCAATTCATGCTGGAGATGATACTATTTCAATACAAGTATGAGTGAAGCCTCTCTCAGGAGCACAGTTCTGGGAGACATCTGAAGGAACCAGTGGTTCTCAGCGTTCTAATCCACTCTTGGCCTTAAAACTAATGCTAAGAGTCAAACTGTTTCATTGTTCAGACAACTGTAATGTGGCTTAGAAATACCACACAGGAAAAGATAAGGAAATGGATTCTCGGCCATAGCCTCTGGAAAGGAAAGCAGCCCTACTAGCTGAGACCCACTAATAGGCTCCTGACCTCTAGAATGACAGGATAGCAAACACATTATTTTAAGTCACTGAGTTTTATGAAAATCAGTTCCTGAAGTAGTAGGCAACTAGATCGATTCCCAGGTAATGCTAATGTGTCAGAGTTTGGAAACCACTGTGACATGCTCTTTGCTAGGTTGGTCCTCCAGCTGGAAAGAAATAATTTATTGTAAGAACAAACTATCTCTTACCTGGGACGTCATTCCCACTGAGGGCCAGCTGCCCTGCGTTGTTGCTTCCCCAGCCAAATGAGGTCCCCAAGAGAGACAGGGCAAAGCTATGAGCTCCTCCTGCAGTCACCTGAGCCAGCGGGATCCCCTCCAGGGACCTCACCCTCTGTGGGCTGGCCTGAGAGGGAAACTCCTTCCCCAGGCCCAGCTGCCCATGACTGTTCCTTCCCCATGAAAACACTTGGCCATCTACAAAAATAAAGGGAAATTTAGAATTGTACACATACTGGATTACCAAACCACAGAAACTATTACCTCAATTCCACATTTTTTTCAGGTTTATTGAGGTATAGTTGACAAATTAAAATTATACATATTTGAGATGTTGAAATGACATTTTAGTATACGTATGCATTGTGAAATGAATGTCAGAATTGGCTAACTAAATATCCATTACCTCACACAGTTACAATTTTGGCATATTACCGAATTTTTCTTGCAGGGCTGGTGCTGCAGCTCAGTGATAGAGTGTGTGTGAGGTGCTGGATTCAGTGGCCAGTGCCATGTAAACAAGCAAAAAGAAAAATGCACAAAACAAAAACCTACTCTCTTAGCAAATTCAAGTATAAAAATATATAGTTATTTTCAACTATAGTTACTTTGTGGTATAACAAATTTCCAAAAGTAATTAATCTTAGAAGTGGGGTTGTACCCTTTGGCCGGCACTTCCTCACCCCTGGCAACTTTGTTTGTTTCACTTTGTTTCTATGAGTCCAGTTTTCTTTGGTTCTACACATGAGATTATAGTACTTTCCTTTTTATATCTGGCATAATATCCTTCAACTTCACCCATGGTGTTGCAAATGACACAGTTTTCTTCTACTGTCTGTATAGTACTTACATCTTTAAAAAAAAAATAAAGGAGGAAATGAGATTAAAGCTTTCTGACAAAAGGCACGGGATGTGGTCAAGTTCATAAGTGCTTCAATCCAGAAAATCCTTAACCTTTTCCTCTAAAATCTTTCCAGAATCCAACCTTTCTCATCCTCCCATTGTTATTACTTTGGCCAAGTCAGGATGATTTCTTTCCTGGAAAATTATAGTCACCTCAAACTGGTCTCCCCAATTCCACCTTTGTCCCAACAGTCTTTTCTGCCAAAAGTATCCAAAGCAATATTTTAAATATGTAAGTCCAGGGCTGGAGTATAGCTCAGTGGAAGAGCATTTGCCTAACAGGCCCTGAGTTCAATCCCCAGCACTGAGGACTTCTTTTATAAAGTAGAGAGACTTTCCCCTTCCATTCAAATACTTATTCTCTGTCTCCTAAAGCCTGTTTCATTTCACTTCTCATCACACTCCTTCTTCCATTTTTACTGTGTAACTATTTGACTATATATTTATTGGCCTATTTTCCTTACTTCCTCCAGAATATAATTTTCATGAAAATAGTCTTAGAATTATTCATTGCCAGGGCTGGAGAGATGGCTCAGCAGTTAAGAGTGCTGACCACTCTTGCAGAAGACCCGGGTTCAATTCCCAGCACCCACATGGTGGCTAACAACTGTCCTCACTCCGGTTCCAGGGGATCCGACAGCCTCTTCTGTCCTCTGTGGGCACTGCATGACACGGGTCTTGCAGAAGACCTGGGTTCAAATCCTAGCACCCACATGGCAGCTAACAACTGTCTGTAACTCCAGTCCCAGGGGATCCAACAGCCTCTTCTGACCTCTGCAGGCATTGCACGACATGGGTGCACCTACCTACATGCAGGCAATATATACATACACATAAAATAAAAAAATTAAATTAAAAATAAATAAATAAAATTAAGCTCTTCTAATGCTCAATTATATACCTAAATAAAGATCAACATACCTCAAGCATTTTCCTGTTATTTTTACTTAACTTCTATTTACTCTTATAAAGTTATTTATACCTCTGAAAAAAATTTTGAGGACACACTGTGAAATTTGAAAGTCATATAAAGGTCTATGAAAATGCACAGTTCACCATAGCAAATGTATGGAATGCCTGGGCTGCGCACAGCCTTTATACTCCAAACCAATATAAAGACAGCCCAATACCCAAAAGAAATAATTCATGTCACTTCAATCATTAAGAAAGAAAGAACAGAATGTGGCACGAAAGTGGAAAGGAAGCTATTTGTGGTGGAAGGGCACAGAGTGTGGGCAGGGGTGGGAGAAGAAGCAGGGAAAAGTATCAACAAAACCACATTTTGTTTGAGAAGTGTCATAGCGAAGCCTAGTACTTTGTATGCCAATTAAGAGAGAGAATCAGAGAGAGGAGAGAGGACATTGCTATGTAGCATGTCCGCTGTATGCTATGCACAGCACTCGAGGTGTGCTGTGTACATTCTCTCACTGAATTTTCTGTACGTCCTGTAAGTAGGGCGTCAATATTCTTACAGATGAAAAAGATTGAGACTGAGCAGTAAAGAACTTTTTTCCAAGGCCAAATAGCTTGAAATTGTAGGGGAAGAAATCTCACAATCCTCATGCAATATGCCCTAGTCTTACAATCTGCAATATAGTGGTTAAGGTTAGGGTTAGGCTTTAAACAGGATAAGATCAAATCCTACCCTTTCTATTTTCATACCCGTATACCTTTGGTCAAATTATTTAGAGTTTCTAATCCCACGTTTCTTTGTTTCTGAAATAAGGATGTGAATAATACCCAACTTCTATGTTTTTTAGGCAAGTAAAAAATATACTACAAGTAAAGCATTTACCATGGTTGTGGCCACACAGCAGGCTACCTGTGGGCACTGGCTGCCCAGAGACCCTGAGGAACAGTTTGGAATGATAAGTAAGACATCACCTGAAGAACACGAAAATACTACATGTTGCCTCAAGGGGATCAGCATACGCCAATCCGAAATAGGTCATGAAGCCATGACTTAGAAGGCAGCTTGGAACAGATTGGAGGAGAGTTCTCTACCCTCCCTTCCCTGGTAGAAGAGCAGGATGTAACTGTTTCTGTGGAAAATATCAGAAAGAGGAAACCAGCTTTTCCTTGACGTTGGAGAGTTATCACTGACATGAGTCTGCACAAAAAAATCTTAATAAAATCCCCTTTACTGTCAATGATTTTTAACCATTTCTCCATCATCCATATAAGTCCAAACTGCCCTTCTTTTGTTAAAGTGGTATATAAGTCCCAAATTCTAAATATTTCTTTGTTTCACTTCATTTCTGTGAACTCCTGCCCACATAAATAGCAGTAATAACTGAGTGCCTTTTCTCAGCTAATCTACCATCTGCTCATTTAATTTGAAGGTGCCTAGATACTACATAGAGAGCAAAAGCAAAGTCTTTCCTCCTCAACACACTCCCCCAAGAAATCTAGATTGAGGATGGACGAAAGATGGGAAAGATTAATAAAACTACAGGGTCATGATTCTGACATTTTGACTTTTCTTTCTTTGATCTAAAGTTTCAGTTTGCCAGCGTGGACAAGGCTTTCAGAGTAAAGAGCAATGCTGGAAATAAAGCCACTAGTGAATTCTGAGGGAGTCAACCAGTCAGGTGATGATGAATTCCTTTATGGCAAGACTTGGTCATTATTTAGTCACTATAAGAAAAAAACAAACCAAAACACTGAAGGACACCGTATCTGATCGAACCTAGACAGTTAAAAACTTCTAAGTACACTAAAATGAAACCCAGTGGATTAAAAATCCAGCTACTATTTATATTCATAATTTTACTTCTTTGCCATCTAGAGACCCCCAAAGTATTCCTTACCTTCCGATAATGCCAGAGAGTGGTAATGCCCACAAGAAACTTGGATAATTTTTATGCCATCCAGAGCTTTTATTTTCCTGTAGTAAAAAACGATGCAAATTCTGTTAGTCTTTGCTTAGGACAAGTAAATTACAGACATTTAAAAATATCCCAGATATAATATATCAGGTCTAAGAGATTTCAGTAATTTTTGTTTTCTTTATTTCCCTCTTTTTATGTTTTTGGTCATTTTGAGAAAGGGTTTCACCAGCAGTCTGCCAGAGCAGCAGGCTTTCTAGAAACCAGGTAGCACTGGAATTCTGCTGTTCTGCACCTCTTGCATTTCTTCATTAGGGAAGGCTAGACTTGAATTCAACAGGATCTTCTTTCCCCACTGACCCTCCTACGCCCACTCCCTTGGCTGTGGTTTAGCCAGACAGTGCACAGGGATGAATGGAATCTCATTCAACCATGTGTATCACTAAATGCCTTAAGAGGACCATAGCCTCCTGCTGTTTACTCTTGCTTTGTTGGACTTCTTCACTTTGACCTTGGCACCCTAGGCCAAAATCACATCGCATCAGTTGTTTTTGGTTTTGCTTGGGTTTTTTTTTTTTTGTCTTTTTGAGACAGGGTCTCCCTGTAGCCCCAGCTGTCCTGGAACTCACTATGTAGTAGACCAGGCTGGCCTTGAACTCACAGAGATCCACCTGCCTCTGCCTCCTGAGTACTGGGACTAAAGGTGTGTG